CAACCCATCGGATTGGCCCATATTCAGGCAAGGCTTTTATGGCCATGGATGATAGAGAATGATTCTTTCTGGGCTTTAGCCTAGTCACAGTTACCTAGGACCAAGTCCCACTAAACTCTGAGATTTACTTCCAAGTAAACATGCATAGCACTGCAAACGGCATTTTCTTTGTCTTTCTCAGAGTCTGCTCTTTTCTTAGTAGATGTTGCCATTCTCTGTGAGCCTGCAGGGACAGGGTTAATTAAAGATCCCAACAAACATAAAAGCATTAAAATAAAAATGAGAAAAAAGATGGCCTTGATAGGTCCTCCGAACTGTCCCTCCGTGTTCCTTCCAGAAGAAAACGGTATTTTTGTCTCAAGGTCTGGCAATCTTCCCATTCAGAATTAAATAAAGCATGCTGATTTTCCTAGGGGGGTAATAGATGTGGAGGGAAAATTCCTGCCACTTGAATGGTCATACTGAGGGAGAAAAGTATAGTGAATTTGATATGGTCCTGATAGTATCTAGCACTTGATTTGTTCATCCTATAAATTGCCCCCCCTTTTACCGTTCTGTTTATCCTTCCCATGCAAAAATGGGAAGTGTTCTTTGAAAGCTCTAGGAGGGGGTTGGGAGAGCAAAACCTTTAGTGAGCTAAGGATCTGTGCTATTTACTTTAATTAACTTTATAAGGCATCCAAGGTTTTGGTTTTTTAATAGAACTTTTTAGGAACACAGGAAGTGGCATTAAACGGAGCCAAACCATTGGTCCATCTAGCCCAGTGTTGTGGACCTGGGTGGCCTTGACTCTGCAGGTGTTCAGGATGGATTCTTTCCTAGTTGTACCTGGAGAAGCTGGGGGTTGAACCTGGGGCCTTCTCCATGTGAAACTGGCACTCTGCCATTGAGCTGTGGCCCCTCCCAAGCTCCAGACAGTCAGCAGGCGTTCCAGGGCTGCCAGGTCAGGAAGCTGTGTGCAAAGGGGCTGGTGCCAGTGGGTAGGTTTGCACATCAAGGCAAACCATCCTGATAAACTATCAGCACAGCTAGTCCTGAATTGCCAAGAAGCTACAATGACCTTGACAGATGATTGGGCTCACTGTATTTGCTCTCCTCCCCCATTTTTCTGGGCTTTCTGTCATGATGGATTGTGTTGTCCAGGTTTGGACAAAGAAAACATATAACAAACCAGAAGTCATATAAGAAACCATTGTTTCTTAGCATGGTTTCTAAGGACAAAACTTACTGTGCTGAAATACCATGATTGGCTCCTGGCATGATAGACAAACAACGCTAAAACCCACAGTGGTTTATCATGTCAGGAACCCAGTCTGTATAAAGGATTTTTTAAAGCTTAAAAAGCAATAGCTCCATTCTTGGGCCCTAGTAAAGTAAGGGCAAACCTGATCGGATAACCCCATGGACAATGTCCAAAGGGGCACAGGATGTTTGGGGCTCCTTTTCTGATGTCAAAGCTGATCCTCACCTCCCCTGCCTGGCAGCCAGCATGGAGATAACCACGTTGGTGATTTCTCCAAGGCTGCAAAAGTGAAGAGAATGGGGTTAAGGGCATTTCAGGGGGCAAGAAGGGAATATCTCAGCATTCATGGATTATGCATTTTCCACAGAACATTAAGGTAGCTGAGCAATCTCCATCTCAGCGCCATTTTCCAAGTTCTTCTTCCACCCCTCCTTAGGGGTACTTTTGACCCTCAAAAGGGTGGGAAAAAAAGGGTGTGGTGAACGGTTTGGCCAAGTTCTAGTGTGGATGAATCTAAGACTGCAGTTTAGCAATATCAGTGATGATGATGATGAGGAGGAGGAGACAGTCTAGTGAGACAGTGTGGCCTCCTGCCAGCATTGGGATCAGCTTCTCTGGCACTCTCAAAGCCCCTCACCACAATAAGATGTGCACCCAACTACTACGATGGCTATTATTTTGCAGAAACAAAAAGATGGCAGCAGAAAAAACTGGGGATGGTGGAAGAACAGGCCAAAAAAACATATCAGATTACAATAACCATTCACAGCATCGTCAAGAAAGATAAAATAGATATTATTATAACGTTGCACTTATTCTTGTTTCCTCTCCTGAGCAACACAAGATGGCTTACACAGTCCTCCTCCATTCCCTTTTATCCTTACAATAACCCTGTGAAGTGGGCTAGGCTGAGAGTGACTGGCCCACAGTCATCCAATGAATTCAATGGTCAGGCATGGACTAGAGCCCAGGTCTCCCAGCTTTCCAGTTCAACAGTCCATCAACCACCTGACACCTATATAGCCTACAGTTGCTAACTTCACCTGGATGTTTGTTAAGATTGCACTCTTGCAGAATGTAAACTGGAATGAACCCGGACCATCACAAGACTTGTGTGAGAACAAGAATATTTTGTGATGTACAGTGCTTTGCAGCAGATGCTCAGTGATTCGCGGACAGGCAAGTCACTGTGGGAAATACTCCCTGAAGGCACAGGGTCTGCAAAGCCACTGGGTTAATTCAACTTATTCCATTCAAGGATTCTACGAATGGGTGGGAAACATGTCCCTGCAGACTTGAACTTCACCTTTGGAGTTTTTGGCAATCATGCAAAAACAATGAGTTCTGGGAAACATGTATGTGCTGGGGGTTAGCCATTTCTTCTGTGTTAAAGAAACTGAATGGCATAATCTACAGTCAACTATTTCAACGGATGCTTGTGTGGATATATGGATTGCTTATATTAATACCTGTATTTGAAATATAACTTCTATCAAACTTGGGACTCTCTTTATTATTGGCTAGAGAAATGGAACTTGGCTTAGATTTAAATATGTTTTTAAGTTATCATAAATGGAAAAAGAAGGGTGTGGGGGCTGACCCAGCGGGCTCGATGTTTTTGATGATGGATGTTGTTTGTAGTTTTCTTTTTGTGTTTTTTTAGGGTTATAATTTCAAATAAAACTTATTTAAAAAAAGGAAATATAAGTGCTGGATCTGGTGTTCCCCATTCCTTTTTATTAATGGTGCTGAAAACAGTTATTCTGACTGGATCTGCTTTTTTGCTAAGTAGTTTTTGTTGCTGTTTGCTGAGGGCTTTTTGCAATATTACAGGAATTATTTTTATTTATTTAAAATAAGCACTTCTGAAAACAAATGAAAACATTTGTCAAGCCAGTTCTCCAATGAAACTAGCACTATTCATTAATGTGGTTTTGAAAATGCATTTTCCGAAACCCTTAAAAACAGACCCATGAGATATGAAGGAGAAAATCTCTGTCTTGGATTTAAGAAGTTTCAGCCTGTGTGAAAGGAACTGAACTTGAATTTCAAGGGTTGCTTTGACACATATCACATCTGAGCAAAGGGAGTAGAGTTCCATTTAAAAAAACCTAATTTGAAATAGGTGAAATGTAGATTACCAAAAGTTTACAACATGGTACCTGTAACTGTGTGGTGGTATGTTTGACCTTAGCTTCCAAAAAGGCAGTTAAAATCAGTGTCACCAGTCTTCACATTCTCTTAGGAGTACAAAATTTAACACTGAGACTAAACTAAATGGTCAGAAATGACAGACAACAAGACCTAAGTGTAACCCTAACCCTAACCTTTGACAGCATCCTTTGAAGAGATGCCACAAACACTTTTTTGTCATTGAACATATTTCGGATTCTGAGAGAGCATTGTGAATGCTCTCACACAATGGCTGCCATGAAAGACCTGCCATGGTGGGTATCATTAATCACAAAGCACATTTCCCAGAAGGAAAACTAAGAGAAAAGTGATATGACTAAAATCCGCACACAAACCCAAATTAAGATGGTACGGGAGAGCAACGCTTCATTTTGCCACTTCCTCACTTAAAAAGTTAGTAATTAAAATAAGTCTTAAAGAAAAAATCAAAACAGAAGGGGAAGGAAAGAGAAGTGTCCGGGGGCACACCTGGGCCTAAAGGCACCATGCTGGGGACCCCAGCCTTAAAGGTTGCCTGGCAGGTTATGCGCAACAGGCTGGCAGGACCCATGAGCTGACTCAGTATAAGGTATGTGCCTATATTTAAGCCACTTCCTTGTGAGGTTACAGCGGTCTCAAAGTAATCTCTTCACTTTAATGGATGCCACTCCGTAATGCATTCACCTGAAGGCATGTTGCAGTTGTGTGAGCAGGGAAGGGCGAGACAGAGCAGAGAGTGCTGCTGAGGCATTGGACTGGCCAGCAGGCTGATGCAACGGCTGCTATGGAAACGCTGAAGGCCCAAGGGTTGGGCTACGGAGCAGGGGCAGCAGCCAGCTGCCCCCCTTAGCACATGGCCCCAGGAAAGGATGCTCTCCGTTAAGAAAGCACCTTCCAGCTCCTCAGGTGTGCGCAGGGTTATCTGAGAGTGGGCCTAGTGCCTGAGCAAGGCCGCCAATGCTGAGCTTTGCCTTACAGCTTGCATATATTCTAAAACAGTCTTCATCAGCCTGTTGCCCTCCAGCTGTGTTGACTACAACCCCTTTTTCTCACAGGCTGGCAATTGCAGTCCATCATGGTGGGAATGGCTGTGATAAAGACCTTTAAAACAAACAACCCCTAATTTCCCACATCTTTGTATATGTTTTTGTCTTCATTTTACTCTGCAAAAAACAACTTTCTTTTTATTCACAGTGCTCTGATCAATGCACTTATTGATCAAGACATGAATGTGCCGGACAGAAAGGAAAGCTTCTGGACCTTTAGGACTCTTAGCTCTAAACCAAGAAGACAATTTGTAGGCTTTATATCACTTGCACCTCCACTTTTTAATTCTGAGGAACTAACATCCACCAAAGTCTCAGCTACAGATGAGGGCAGCAGCCAAAACATTTAGCACCAAATATATGTTTTAATTACTCCGTTTTTAGTCTGCCTTCCTATATATATATGGTGCTTTTCTCTTCTGCTGCTTTAAACCTTCCTCTTCATTACACCCACAGACAGGCATGCATATATCTACTATGCTCATATGGATATATGCATGCCCCCCTTTCCTTTTTGGTGAACAAATAAAAACATTTACCTTTCTGAATGTTGCTGGCTCTTCCAAGGAACTTGTCATCTGTTTAGAAAGACAAAAGGTTTGCTTTTTAAGCATGTATCATGGGATCCCTGTGGATGCTATAAGCCAATGTTTATTTCACAGGGGGGAATGTTGCTTTAAAATTTCTTGTCATCTGGACAAGCTAAAGCAGCAGGTGATTTCTATTTAATGAGCTTTAAAGCACACACAGCCAGTTTAAATTCCAAATGGATTTTGTTTCCAAACAATTTAAGCTGGATGCAGGCTTACGGCAAGAACAACTATGATTTTACTGACACCTACTGCCTCCTTGTAGTTTTGCAGAAGGCTACTAGATAAAACTGCAACACAAAACAACTTTGAAAATGTATTTTCCTTGTACCTCCTCCTTACGTACCTCGAGTCCAAGGGACTGTGTGCTTTGTTTTGTGTAAATGTGATTGCAGTCAGAACTTTGTGTACAAAAGAACAAATCTACCCCCCATCCCCATTAGTAGTACCTTCTAGATAAAAAGTGCAGATATTAAAACTACTACATAGTACTGAACACAACCCCACATCTCTTGCTTCTCTTCCCAAATGGCATGTAGAAAAGCAAAATATATACTTTTGCTCCACTACAAGGGGCATCTAATGAAGTAGGGCAGGGTAGGTTAGGGATAGCGGTGGATGAATCCATCAATGTTAGTTTCTCTCCTTTCTCCAGTCTTAAAACCAGTTTGCTTTGCACTGTGAGAATTCCTCCAGTTTTATTTCAGTTCATCCAAAATCTGAGGGTTTTTTTTTAAGTTTGCATGAAAATGCATAAGCATTTTTGTGTACCTTTCTCCTGCTACAGGCAATCCCTGAAGCACAAACATCCAGGTTACAAACAACCTGTGATTATGAATGAATTATTAATTTTTTTTAATTACTGCAGGAAATCAGCATCACCACAGGGAAGAAGCAAAAAGGGAGTGAGTGAGGGCCTCCACAGCATCATCAGAGAGAGAGAGGAAGTGTAGAGAAAAAAGCCCCCAAAGCAGGCCTTCCTGCCCTGCCCATCCAGAGAGGGAAATCTCATCAGCATTTCCTTGGTACAAAGAGGAGGCACTGGTGAGTTTGGGCGGGGTGCGCGTGCACGAGACTAGAGATATTTGTGGTTTTCCACTTTCACAGGCATTTGCACCCATAAACCCCACTATGTGGAAACCTGACTATACTTGATCCGACTTACATACAAATTTGACTTAAAGACAGATTTCCATTTCCTCAGGAATGAAATTCATTCGTAACCTGGGAACTGCCTATATGTGGTTCTTTGCATGCATTTTTTGCCTAGTATACACCACTGACAGCAATTTTACTAACATAATGAATTTTAAAACATTATTTCCTTTAATACATGCATTTCTGTATGGATTTATTTCTTAGTGAGTTTCACTGCAAAATTCGGAGGAGACAAATTTCAAAATGTAACAATTTCTCCTTCATTGCTGGTGAAAGGTGTAATGAAATCACATCACACCTTCATTCATTAAATTTTACTAATGGAAGAAAATGGGGCGCATACATGGCAACATTTTTGAAAGCAGCCTTATGGCTCCAGTAATGCATTATTCCAGGTTACAAACTTCTAAACTGGACTGGCATGCTTTGGACTTGACCCTGCAGTTGCTAAAATGGAGAGCTACTTGCTGTCTGAGCACCTTTAAGTACTAATGGGCAGCCATAGAGCAAAATGGAATACAGTAATCTTTTAGAACCACTTGTTCTGTACTTGCTGAAGTAGTTTAAAACAGGCCAACACTTTTTAAAGTAAGTATAACTATGTGTTTTTTCTCATTTGCAATAAATGTGGCTTCATTGGGCAACAGATTAGCTACAGAAACCTTACGGCTATACAGACTCATTTAAAAGATTCACAATGCCTTTGCTTCTCGCCATTCTAAGATCACAATGCCTACCACTGAGCTAGCAGAGTTATTCAACTTGGACTTGTAGAGCATCCATTGGTAGCGCAACTCCTCCAGTTCAGCAGAGTTTTTCACAATTGGTCGAAGGCGCAAGAGATCTTCAAAATGGTGCTGACCCTCAGGAACACGAGACTGAAGTTTCTGCAGAGAGGGAGAAGGTAAATTAGACAAGCATTGGATGTGAGGAGGCACTGGAGACATACTGTGTTTATGAGCAGCTTTCTGAAATAACTCCTTACCAATAAATATTCATGAGTTTCATGAATATCTACAACCATAAAATGTAAACAACAGTGAAGCCTCCATTGTATTATCACATAGTTAAGCTTGTATGGCCCCCAGCCCGCTGTCCTTCCAGGATGCAGCAGAGGATACAGAATAGGACAAGAAACAGGCTACTTCCGGGGTGTTGGACAATCAATACTGCATTAAGGGCTTTCCTAGTTGGAGAATATAGTCCTGCCTCTGACTCAGGATGAGCGCCCAGTAGAACCACCACCTCCTTATCCTTGCAGAAGCTATACAGTCAGGCAAGGATGCTTTAACAGTCCAGACAGCTCCTTTCAGAGAGATACTCCTGACTGAACTGGCAGGTCTTGTCAGTCTACATAAAGCTTCAGCTGGCTTTAGCTCCCCGCTGAGACAACATTCTCCTGGAGTAGAAGAAAGTTACAGCCAGCAGGTGAAACATGAAACTACTCAAAGTCCTATTTTCCTTATCTCTGAAGTTGCCTGTTGTGCTTGACCTGTCTACTTTGATTGGACTGTATCTGCCAAACCTACCCTACCCTACTGTGACTTGACTCTGCTTACTGCATGGGATTTTACCTGTCTGATTTGACTGTCATCATATGTTACTGGCTTCCCTGTGAGCCTCATGTACCCACAAAATGGTAGCACCAGGGCTCCTTTACATGGCTAGTATTTCAAAGGTTTATATTCCTTTGAATATATTATAACTTTAAAAAATAAGTTCCTCTGAAACTTGCTGAAATGATTTAGACCATTGAGGAAGGACTATAATTCAGAATCAGGGTGCATAGGACCCTGTCCAATGGTTTCCAATAGATAGAAGAGCTTCCAGGGGGGAAAGAGAGGGAAGAAGGCAATTTTTACTGATCAAAGAGCCTTTCATAAGTTAAGCAATGCTGTTGTTGACATACAGCGTTTGCATACAGAAGGTCTCTGGCTTTTCTGGGTAACGCTGGGAAAGAGTCCTGTGTGAAGTTCTAGAGAACTACTGCCTGTCAGTAAAGTTAGGTGGACTAAAGGCCTTCACTGGTATAAGGCACCTTCCCATACCCCTGTCCCATTGCTAGATACCAGATCAATGCTTTCTCTTAACAAGAATGTACAGTACTGAAGAATTAATGTGGCACAATGGAAAGAAACAGACCCTTAGCTTGCTGTGCCTTGCTTCAAGTTCTTTGTTAGTGGATGGCTTCATGGAAAGGATGCTGGCCAACTTGGCATTTTCTTCTTGTAACCATTGGTCAAAATTCTTAATGAGTTGAAGATCATTATTATCTTCTCCTTGGTCCATGTTTTTCTGGATTACAGGGATTTTTTTTAAAAAAAGAACACATAAATGAGGAACTAAACAAGAAAATGTACTTTCCCCGAGTTAAGATTGCCCAGTAAAATCAACTGTAAAAGATTCCAAAGGAAGTTGGTTTTTTTCTTATTCTGTGAATATCAGGCACAGGAGATATAAAAATCAATGATTTTTTAAAAAGTTTGAATGTAACCATTCAGAGAGTCAGCATGGCTGAGTGAACAGTATACCATTTCAAAAACAAACAAACAAATAAATAAAATGAATAAATGGCTTATTGATTTAAAATTATTGGAAAATGTCAGATAGAATACTACATTTCTTTCTCACTATAACAACAAGTTACAATTGGATCTCATAATAAACCTGCTAAACTGAGACTTGCAATCTCAGAAAAATGAAGTTACCTCTCTCTCAAACATGGCTAACAATTTCAATGTTTCATCTCAGGAAAATGGCTGTGTTTAGCCTAAGCAGTACTAGATTTTGCTTCTTGTAGGTTCAGGGCTTTTAGTGTGTCTGACTGTAGTTGCATGTGCATGAATTCAGGCTACCTAGGCTCATTGTTTTATGGTTACATGGTAGTGCTGAACCAAGAAGCAGAGAATTAAGACAGATAGGTAATATAGTAGAGTGGATAAAAATGAACAAATAAGCAACAATCAGGTTTTTAGAATTTTAGTATCTTCACACTAAGGCTGCAATCCTATACCCACAAAGCTGGAAGGAAGCCCCAGTGAACTCAATAAAACCTGTTTCTAAGGAGACCTATATAGGACTATGCTCTTAACCTCACATTGCAATGGCATGTGCTGGATAAAGAATGATCATACATGTGAATACTTTAATGGCAGTGATAAACAGGGAAGGAAGTCAAAATATATAGAGTGAGACGAAGAGATGACTGTGCATCCTCCAAACTAGGGACAGTGTTAAAAAGGACTCTTAAGGCAATACAAAGAAAAACTTCTAGCATTCAGAATTTTTCATAGCCAACAGCAGACTTCATTCCCAAGGTGTCTGCTGCTTGATAGAATGTCAGTGTTATACCCTACACCCGCTGTGCATATCGTCTCATGATTCCTATTAAAAAGTTTGATAGTTAAATGAAGAACTGTAAACCACAGAAAGCACACTTGGAATTAAAACAAGGCTCCAACACAAGCAGCGCGGCCTTATATAAAAATCAAAATAAAATTAGGATCTGCTTCAACACTCAGAATTTAAGCTGAGCTGGGACTCATGGTCTGCACCTGTACATGTCACCCAGCAACCCAATTTTCAGTGTGTGGAAATCGTAATGAAGTCAAGCATCCAGATTACCTTCTGCAGAGTAGATTTCTACTCCCACTGAGTAACAGTGGCTTGTCTCAGTGTGACTGGGAAAGCTTCCCAAACTGGGTTTGAGACAGTTTTGAGAGCTGGGACTAACTTGCTGCCCAGGCTTTTCATAATGTTTAGTACTGTGTAAAAGAAAAGAGATGTGTGGCTGACTGGTAAATTTTATTTTCACACCTCTGATGGACAACTTTCTCCTCTGCATCTGACGGTAGCAAGATAACTGAGGGCAAACACACCCAACCTGGCCCCTCCAGTTGTATTGGACTAAAACTGCCATTATCCCAATTCTGTAGTCCCACTTCTGAGACAGCTGCAGAACTTCAGGCTATTCCTGTATGAGCCCCAGAGACTTGACTTGGATTCATTTCCTCACCCAGTGATTAGCATCTTCTGTGGAGTGAGTGGCAAAGCCCTGTGTTGTCATGCTGTCCAGAAATGTTGCTTTCTTGCCTCCATCTGTTGTTGTCCTGTTTGGATGGATTTCCTGGAAGAGACTAAGATCACCAAAATTGTGGGGCAGGATGCCAAGGTGGGAGGCAGTTGTTAATTAAGCACACACAACATGCATAAGCACTGATTCTATATTTCATTCTGTAGCCAGAAACTCAAACAGAGTGAAGCTTATTTAAGATTTTCATGGGTTCCATTCAGCACTCTTAAGTCTTTTGGTTGATGCCCTACGCATTCAAAAGGTGCTAAAATGGCTGAACTCAGTCAGTTTCTCAAAATAATTACAGTAGACTCCCAACTATCCGGCCTAATGTGGAGGAAGGGCAAGCCAGATAGGCCGGAGTTCTATAAATGCTCACTTCCTACCCCATCCAAATCATTAAAAACACCCTTTTTATACCAAAACCCGCTCTTATTCATATTTTCTGAACTCTTAGTACAGGCCAGTACTTTATAAATGTTTGTTATGTACTGTACTGTACATTTTAAAAATTTATTACAGAAAAAGGAAGTCCAAGGATAAAAATATTGTACACATTTTAAGATAAATTTTATAATGTCTAACTTAATTGCAGAAAACATAAAATCATGTCACTGTACAGTATGAATACATACACTTTTAAAATAAACAAAACATTAACGTAAAACGTAGGCTTAATTCTTAAAAAATTATTTAAACATTTTACTGTTCATTGATAGTTATTTTTTAACTAGGCCGGATAGTAGCGAGCTGGATAGTCGAGAGTCTACTGTACTATAATAACAAAGAATGCATTAGCAAATGCCATGCAATTGACTTGCTGCCAGCCAAAGTGTCCAAGAAGGCATGTGGGTCCGAAGAGCATTGCTGGATCAGACCAAAGGCCTCTCTGAGAGCCAGTGAAGTACAGTGTTTTAGTCCCCGCTTAGCCATGAAACCCTCTGGGTGACTCTGGGTCAGTCACAAACTCAGCTAACCTGCCTCACAGTGATGTTGCTGTGAGGATAAAATGGAGAAGAGGAGATCCTTGTAAGCTGCCTTGAGTTTCTTGCGCGAGGAACCAAAGAGGCTATAAATGTAATGCAATCATCATCATCATCATCGTCATCGTCATCGTCCAGCAGTCTGTTTCCACAGTGGCCAACCAGAGGCCAACGGAAAACTTACAGAAGGACATCTCTTTAACTGTTTAACAGCATTCACCCAAGAAAATGGCACTCGAGGCAACTCAGTCATAGGAATTACATGTACATTTATATAATTAAAACAGTTAAACTACATTAAACACAGTTAAAACACAGATGCAGGAGAATATAAAGTGTACCCAGCTAATGGGTTTCTTGAAAGTGTTGTTAGCCTGCTGGTGGAAGGACTGTGGAGAGGGAGCCAAACTGGCCATCCTCAGTGGGGAGCTCCGCAGTTCAGGAGTTGCAACCAGGAAGGTCCTCTCTGTCATTGTCACTCTGGGGGCAGCAGTGCCTCTTCTCAAAATCTTAAAGTCTGTGTAGGCTTACAGTCCATACAGCGACCTGCTCCTAAGCTGCATAGGGCACTGTGGGTCACAGCTAGTATTTTAGCTTGTGCCTGGAAACAGATGGGTAGCCTGTGAAGGTACCTGACTGGGGCAGGTTGGTAACCAGACTGGTAACCAGTGGAGACTGTGGACTACCTACCCCAGTCAACAGTCCCGCTCAGCATTCTGGACCAGGTGAAGTTTCCAAACAGCTTTCAAAGGCAATCCCATACATCACTGTACTAGTCCAAAGATAATGTATGCAACTAAGACCGGCATAATATGAATGCCACAACTCTCTTCTGCCACTGATTCTCCACAACTGCTGCCCTGATCTTGGACCAGGGGCTACTGATAGTCCTATTCTCCCTGAATTTGTTTGTTGTAATTATGTGCTGTCAAGCTGTCTCCAATGCATGGCGACTCGATGAATGAAAGCCCTCCAAAATATCCCATCCCTGGCAGTCTCACTCAGCTCTTCCAAATTCGGGGCTGTGGCTTCCTTTATGGATTTAATTCATCTTGCATATGGTTGGGTTTTATTTGGAAGAACTTGGGAAGTCAACCCTGTAGGAAGACTGCCCACTGAGCTCCATGCCTATGAGCCTTTTAGACCCACGGTCTCTCGTTTATGAAGCTCAGTGATCCCATCGTCCCCTGTATGGAACCTCTGCCCATTCTCAGCAGCAAGGCAATCTGTGAAAGTTATTTATCTGAACCAGAGCTGGAACCAATGAAGGGAACACCTGATCCCTATCCCCTTCCCAGAATCAATTTAGATTCAAGACAATCCACTTCATACTGGAGGAAACAAACCTTCAATGTGGAACTGCAAAATTCATATGGGAAGTCTGGAATTCTAAGCTCCATTTTCCAGATTCAGGTTTGAATTCCAGCCTCATCAGTTGAATAGCACTACTCTAAAGAAATTTTACCAGCTGCTTTAGGATGCAAGTGCTGCTTTGGAGACTTTCTTTCTCTGAACCCAGGAGAACAGAAGAAACAAAAAGGGGTAGCAGAATCAGTCCTTCCCCAGTTTCACCAACTGGAATGGGAGCTTTGCAGCGCTTTGCGGTTGGACCTGCTCCAATGGGAGTGATACGGCTTTTCCAAACAACCGATGCTCCATATTCCGTGTCGTACCCTGTAACACTAGTTCAGCAGCAGCAGGGGACAAACTGAGCTGTAAAAGATACTGTGACAAGTTCCTGCCAGCGGATTTTTCCTGGATGTGGTCTTGCCATTTAAGGCCATTTTTAATGGATTGTTACTGTCTGGGGGATTGTTCTAACACAGAGCTTGTAGCTGTGATTAGGAAATCGCTACAACCCGTGGCTGGTTTCTCAGCTGATGAGGAAACCTGATGAGCTCAGGAGGTGGGGATGGACTTTCCCCCCACCAGTTGTACCTAGTGAAAGAGCTACTTCGTTTGGAAGGGTGGGGGGAGTTTGGGCAAAAAGAAGAATACATGCAATTGCCAGAAATGTTACAAATAAAGGAAAGAAGGCAAAAGGTCAAATTCTCAGAACTCCTCCGTGACTCACCAAGACTGAACATATTATTCAACCCATTTCCCTGGAGCAGCAGCAAGTGAAAGAGCTAAAAATCATGTTTAACTTCATAGAGAGAAGCCTTGGAGAAGCTAAAACAGGGCAGAGTCTGGGAAGATCATTCAAATTTATGAGAACGGAAGTCTATCTCTGCTCAGGAAAAGTTTGTGTCTACAGAAGAGGGTTTGTTTTAGTTTGTAGGCTGCCATCGATGCTCAAGGGAACAAAAACTGAAGGGCCCTTCATTACTGGTTTGTCTATCACAGTTTTACCACACTAGAAATATTGCTGAGCATCTCTGGAGTGCTTACTGAAAACTAGCACAAAGATCCAGCTTTGCACAGGTTGGAATAGCTCTTAGCTGGACACAGCAAAGCCTTCCAATAAGCTGGTGCAGCTGTCAGAATTGGACATGGTGTGCCTTTTCCATCTGAGTGAAGCCACAGCTGCTGAAAACCCCTAGACACAGCCCTCTGCCACTGTGGGCTTTTCTAGGATGGGATGTGTCCATTGGACTGACAGTGATTCCTCCACAGTAGGGAGGTAGGCGCATGCCTAGATAGTGTCCTGCATAAATATTCACTTAGGCTCTTCCACATTTCATTGTGTTACAACTTGGAACCGAAACGGATTTAACTGGGCATTGTTACCACTGACGTACACAAAATACTCAACACTGTGAAGGTGCAAACTTTTTTCCATTGCGGCACATAAGTTAGGTAAACAAAAACAGATTGCAGAAGTATTTGCCCCCTTTGCTGTGTCGTGTAAAAATAAACTCTGCTGCAACCCACTGCATCCAGAGGTCACACACTGTAACTGGTTGAATGAAGTCCACCTGCATGCAATTCCAGTTTCACATGATCTCAGATTAAATGCACCTGTTTCTAGAAGGTCCCAGAATTTGTTGGAGAGTGTATCTAAACAAACAGAATCACGAAGACCAAGGAGCTATCAAAACAACTCTGAGATGAAGTTGTGCAGAAACACCAATCAGGGTTGGGTTACAAATAATAACCACCCCCTCCTAAACTGTGAACATCCCCCAGAACACTGCAAAATCCATGATTACAAAATGGGAAGAGTATGGCTCAACCACAATGCTGCTTTGGGAAAGCCATCCAGCAAAACTCAGTGACCAGGTAAGGAGGGCATTAGTCACAGAAACAACCAAGAGGCCAATGGTAACTCTGAAGGAGGTGGAAAAATCCTCAGACGAGGTGGAGAAACTGTCCATCAGAAAACTATCATCTGAATGCTCCACAAAGCTGGGCTTTATGGGCAAGCAGAGTGAAGAAAGCCATTACTAAAACAAAACCATATCAAAGCCTTTTTGGAGGTGGCAAAAAGGCACAGCAGACATGTGCAAAGGATTCTCTGGCAGGGTGAGAGTGAAGCCTAACCTTTGGGCTTTCCTGCAAGCTGCTCTATGCGGCACGAAGCCGACTGTGCACACTGCCCTGAGAATACCATCCTGTGAAAGTGGAAGCATTGCATTGTGGGGACGCTTTTGCTCAGCAGGGACATGGAAACTGGTCGGGACTGTGTGCCACAAGGATGGAGCCAAATACAGGGCAATTCTAGAAGAAAACCTGTTTCAGTCTGCAAGGGACCTGGGACTGGGGTGGAGGTTCACCTCGCAGCAGGACAATGACCCTAACCACACAGCCAAATGACACTCGTGTGGTTCCATTCTAAGGACCTGAATGTCCTTGAATGGCCTAGTCAATGCCCAGACCTTAATCCTACAGAGAATCTGTGCCACAACCTGAAAGCCACTATTCACCAACAATCTCCATGAAACCTGACAGAGCAGAGTTTTGCCAGGAAGACTGGTAAATCTGCAGGATCCAGATGCACAAGCAGATGCAGACTTTCCTAAGAAGACTTGCAACTGTAGCTGCAGCCAAAGATGCATTTGCCAAATACTGACTCGTGTGGGTTATACTTCTGCAACACACAAGTGCTAGTTTCTTTTTGTTTACTTAACTTTTGTGCGACTATAAAAATATTTTGCACCTTCACAGGGTCAACTATCCTGTGTACATCAAGTAATAACAATGCCAATTACATTCATTTCAATGCCAGGCTGTACCATGACAAGATGGGGAAATATCCAGGGCTATGTGTGAATACTTCTGCAAGGCACTGAAACTCTGTTCCCGGCCTACAATCTTCCCTGGCTTCAAACAGTATGAAGTGCAAAGCAAGATGCCGATTAGCAAAGTCTGTCTTAGTGGCTGAAAATGTTCTAAGGCTGTTTTGAAGATAAAAAGGAAAGGAAGGGGAGGAGTATACAGGCCACCTTGGATTCCTTGAATGAAGGAAAAAATGGAATATAATTATGAACAAAGTTAATTTACATTTATTAATGAATTCTAAACACAAAAGAACCCTGAGGTACATCACTAGGGTCCCCTTGGCATGGATGCTAAGTCTAGGGGTCTTGGCTTCAAGGTCTGGGCACTGGACAGACAGACAGACAGACAGACAGACAGACACGTGTTCTAGAAGGATCTCACTTGGGCTTCCTAGGTTGAGGTTTATATTGCCGAGACTGGGAGGGGTGCAGGGTTGGCAGGTCCCAAATGTGAAACTCTGAATTTACCTTTCAAGGTGTTGAGGAACTGCAAGATGACGACCCTGGGCTGGCTTCTCCAGCCCATTTCTTCCTGTTCCTGTTGTTCTCCCTCTCCACTGTAGGGCAAGAGGGCACAAGTCCTGTAAGGAACACTTACCTTGACAGCATGCCTTCAAGAGCCTGGAAGGATTCCTTCAGCTTCTTCACTTCCATCTGGATATTCTCAGCTCCCTCTGGAGAAGAGTGTTTTGCCACCAACTGGCTCTGGGCTTCAATGAGATGTAACTGGATCTCTCTATCTTGATACTCAGTTTGCAGTCTCTGAAAGGCGCAGCAAACAGACACATGACACAGTTCCTGCTTCTGCTACTATTTCAAAGCAGCTCCATTACCAACATGGACTTCTATTCAAAATCCTTATCTACTTTAACAGCTGCACAACTTGAATGTTTCTACCTACAGAAAGGCCAAAAGGTCACCAAGAAGCAATGTCTGTATAAGAACGGACATGTCTGCCCATGTGGCTTTCTTATTATTCCAACTGTAAGTTCATTTTTTTCCAAACAGTAAGAATTTTAAAGGATTTGAATGAAAATCTGTATACATTTTTGCATGAATTTTCATTCAGACATTTTGTGTGCATTTTTGATTGGCCATCTCCACTGTAAAAATTTGTAGGTGTGCAAATTTTGAAGGTAACTAAGTTTCAGTTTGCATATTGGTTCAAAGAGTACAAAAGCAGGTATGTTTCCATTTAAATGTGAACTAAACAAATTCTCACCCTATCCATATGTCTGGGACAGATTTCTTTTTTGTTCAGATTGAGAGTATTTAGCATGAGCTAGAGAAAGTCACTGAGTTTAAAAACCATTTCTACCTATGGGTGTCAGGATCTCTGTAACAAACATGCCTCACTGATCTCAAAGGGGTTAAGCACACAACTCTATCCGGATCAAGGCCTTTGTCTTTTCAGAAGAAAAAATCGAATTTCAGCAGAAATCTCAAAGCATATCATAAAACTGTAAACATAATGCAGAAGAGTTCCATGGAATCAGGCCAAGCAATCCTCTCCAAAGATAGGAAACTTATAACCCTAGGGTGATATGCAGCTCTTTGTCTAATTACTAGAGACTCTGCAAGGGGTCAGTTCAGGTCTCTGGACCTACTCCAGAAGCCCACTGAACAGAGCGGAGAACTGTCTAAATGTGGGAGAAAAAGAAAATGGAAGAGAAACACAAAAATGTGTCCTTTAGTTCCCTGTCCCTACCCAGTGTCTGCTGTTGGTTTAGGGCCCTCAACACTTTACTCCCAAGGGAATGTGGCCATTGAGAGAATGAACGATGGATCTTCAACCCTAATCCAGCATCCTGTTTCCTACAGTTGCCGCTTAAATACCACCAGGGAGCCTGCAAATACGAGGGGCGCAAAGTCCTATGGCAACTTTTGTGGTCCACGCACAAGGTCTGGAATTTGAGACACTGCTGTGAGCACCAGCACAAAATGACTACCATGGAGATGTGGCTGCTCGCAGAATGACTGCCATGACAGCCTGGCCAGTCACATGACATGGCAACAGGGAGAGAAATAGCAAAGCTTGGTGTTAGGGGAGAAACCAGAAGGCAAAGGAGTAAAAGGAGAGAAGAGCGAGGCTAGAGGCTAGAAAGGGAGAGAATGGAGACTGCCACAACAGGTTTGGAGAAATAAATCTTGCATATACTTTGTAAGAAGCACATTTCCTCCTTTTTCCTTTTGGTGCTCCTTCCAACCTTATGATTCCATACGCAAAACATCCTGCAAATTGCTAGACCTTTATGGCTAAACTTCAGCCTGCCCTCTCAGATATCTGTTGGCCTTGCGCAGCTTGCTGGTTAAGCCACTGGACAAGTCATGTTCTTCACCTCCAAGAACAAAGCCCTGTTGCTCATCTTCCATCCTCCATCGGCATCCCAATGCGATTCCAACTCCTCCTCGGTCACCAGAAGCCAGTGCTGGAGGTCAGATGATTTCTCATTAAAGGTCCAGTGTTCTTGAACATGCTGCTTGCTTTGGGCCATCAGGATCTAAAAAGAAGACCAAGCAAAATCAGAGGAACATCATGGGAGGTAGGGAGATATGAAGAGAGGACAGAAATCGACTAATATAAAAATGAATACAACAAAGAAATCATTGTTTAAGTGTATGTAGCAAATGTTACAATAGGAGAGCTACTTTCAGCCTTTCTTACTTTTTGAAACTGATTCTGCCTAGATATATCTGCTAGGCTCGCTTCCAGCCCCAGGACACACAGCCAACCCTGCCTGTTAGCAGTCTATTGCAGGCTGCAGAGAATTATGGGCAGTGTTCTTGAGTACATGGGTCACAGAGGCACCTGATCTTCACCTCTTGTGAACTGCACCCTAAACACACCCTGGCCCTATGTAAAAGCAGCATATTTTTCAGGGCTGAGCCAGACAGCAGTCTATGATAATCTGGGAGCCAGGAGGCATCCCGAGATATTGGAACTGAAGGGCAAAGCCAGGAGTCAGGGCTGGACAGCAAGTCAGGATCAAAAGGCAAACCAGGAGACAGCTGACTAGGGCTTTTAATTTGTTTGCATTTTAATGGGTTTTAAGGTGTTTTGTTATGTTTTAATACATTTAATGTATGTTAAGCTGCGTAGGAAGGCACTGGCAGTTATAGATGGCCTATAAATATGTGTATGAATAAATAACTCCAGTCCCCATATACATAAGCATTAAGAGCCATAATAACTGGGTTGCTCAATGATAAGGGATTTAATCAGACTGTACCTCACAAGTCAAGATACGCTGGAGTAATTGAGGAGAACAGGCTAAATACAATGTGATGCAGCTGCAAAAAAAAGGCAAATGCTGTTTTGGGAAGCATTAATAGAAGTCTCACTTCCAAATCATGAGAAGCAGTAGTTCCCCTATACTCCTCACCAGTCAGACTTCATCTGGAATACTGTGTCCAGTTCTGGGCACCAAAATTTAAGGAAGATGCAGAAAAAATTAGGATCCAGAGGAGGGCAACAAAAATGATCCAGGGTTTGGAAACATTGGCCTGCAAGGAGAGGCTGAGATATCAGGAAAAGTTTCCTCACTCTCACAGCAATAGGACAGTGGAACCATTTGCTTAGAGAGGTCGTGGACTCTCCCACAATACACACATTCAAAGAGAAATTAGACAGTCACCTGAGTGGGATGGTGTAAATTGGAGACCTGCAATAGCAGGAGGTTGGACCTGATGGACTTTATGGCTCCTTCTAACTCTACTATTCTATGGTTCTGGAATTCAGTGTTATGGCCTCTAGAGAGCCATAGAATTCTCTGGATCCCCACCTATGAGGTTGGAAAATCACCCCAACCTTCAGGTTTGGATCCCACTTCCCACCTCAAAAGCAGCATAGAAGGAAGCAGACTGGCCACTTCTTCAAGCTGGTAATGGCCACCTCAGAGAAGAGCTAGGATGGCTTCCAAGGGGGCAAGGAATAGGTCAGCACCACCAAGATACAATGGATCCTGTGGTGACTCATCAGCCTCTTTCCTTCCCACTCCAAAGTGCTGCATTTGGACAGCCCAAGTCGCCCATCTGCAAAGCAACTTCCACTCCTGTGCTCCCACTTCCACCCTTTATAGGAGGCCGATCATCCTCAGGATTTGGGCATTCCCATGACTTTGAAATTTGCCAAGCTTGAGTTTGCACTACATTTACCTCAGAGTAAGACCAGAAAAGTGAACAGATTTACTTCAGAACATACATCAGGGGTTGTATTTACAATAGCTCTGGACTGCCTGCATTAGTTAAGGCCTGACTGCATGAGTACATCATTCATATGAGTGTAAAAAGTGGCTTTAAAAAGCCACATAGCCAAAAGAAACATCTGAACCAGCTGACTTTACATTAAAATGTGGTCACTTTTACTGACCACAGCTCTCAAAACTTATATCTTAATCTGGCCACACAGTGGTGCTGTGTGAAAGAAAAAACATGTTGCTTTACTTCTGATGAAGTCAAATGTACCCAAGGAAAGGCAATTTCTTACATCTTAATAAATGCTAAGTTCTTGTGTTGCTAGGCTCACTTTCCATTTCTCAAGTCAAAGTCCGTATCAGTCCCCATTTTTCCTTATCAAGGTAGATTCCCATGTCCAATTATCGACTTGCATGCATATCTGGAAAAGGTCTTTATCATGGCTTAATCCAAGGGAGGTCCCCATGCCACAAGGCAGCTGCATCCATCCCTGCCGTGGTCCATGCAGGCGATAAGCCAAATTGTGACGTCCGTGCATGTGGCACAGGTCGCAGGAGAGAATACTGAAGCACCTCCTGAGCTATGTCATTCCTCTTCGCAGTACCATTTTCTCTCCCTGACTTTAGTCACTTGCAGGCTGCACCTCCCCTGTAGGTGCCAGAAGCAGCAGGAGGAAATTTAAAAAAAAATTAAATGGTGCCCACAGCTTCAGACAAGCTAACGCTGACCTCTGGTGCTCTGCAGCAGCTCTGCATGCCATTTTGTTGGGGGAAAAGCAATTACTTTTTTTAAAATGGGGTTGCACCGGGGATGGTGTGGGGAGGGGGGCTGCAGCAGGCTATGCTGCTCTACTCAGCAGCAGGTCCCCACCAGCAGTTACTGGGGGCTGTGAGGCAGGGCTGCCCTGCTGTCCCATTCCTCAAAGGCTACAGATCTCCAGGGTGCTGAGCCAGACTCGGCAGTGACTGGATTCACTTCACACTAGCAATGCTGCAACACTAGAAGGACAAACGGCCACCTTCAATAACACAACAGGTTGAAGACTCAGATATCCTTTCACTGGGTCCCTGCTCCACACATATTCCCATTCATTCATTCAGTCATTCATTTATTTGAGCCGCCTATACAAAATACAGATGCTTTTTTGGTGTATTATTTCCCCTAATACACATCTTTGTACACAATTCTGTTTAATGCATGCATTTTTGTAAGTATTCTCCCCTTAGTACAATGCATTTTTGCACATTATTTTCACAAATACATATGCACTTTTACACACTTTTGTACAAATTCTGCACAGTTCAGCGGAACTGCACTGTAAGATCTGAAGACATGCTGATACTTCATGGATGGATAACTGCTTTTCAGTTGATGTTTTAGTCAGTGTATTAAAAAGTGAGATGAGTAATTTTTCTCTATAGTCTGATGAAGTGGTATTTGATTCTGGTTTGAGGTCAATGTGAAGAGCCACTAAAAGGGGTTTATGTGTAGAGGTGAGTGTTTTTTCTAGCTACCGAGCCCTGACAGAGGGCCCCCCATCATTAGCCAGTGTGTGACCCAGTTCAGAATAAAGGCTTTGATCAAGTTTGGGTCCGAGGATTCAGAGCAAGTAGCAGTTCATTCTCCCAGAGATGTAAGAACCAGAACAGCTCCAGAGATAGCTCTGAGTGAGGTTGGGAAGAGAAGCCACATCATGACTGAGCCTTAAGCATGATTTTGGCTGTTTTCAGGCTTGCTAGCTCTGCCTCTCTATCGACTGAGCCCTGCCCTCTTACAGGGGCCTGATCTCTTTCAGCAGCCTTGAATGCGAACCACACAGCTGTGGCATGGTGCTTCTTTGGACGCCCACCATCTCTGAATCCAAGAAGGCAACCTCCTCTAGACCCAGAGTAACTGCTCCAGGGCCCTGAGGTGAGCCAGGTCTTGAGGCAGTGGGAATCTCATGCCCCCTTTTGCAACCAAGCCCCTTCCCTGACCTGTAAATTCAGGAGCTTTCTCCTTTAAAGGTGAGGGGCTGGGCTTCTGAACCATGTTGTGAGAGGGCAGGCTAGCATGAAAAGGAGGAAGGAGAGGAGAGCTCTTGCGTTACTTGTGCAGGAAACTCCTGCACCAGTGTGTGTCTTCCAGAGGTCTCTGCGCAAGGGCAGCATCAGTGTGCCGGCACCATGCCTTCCCAGTGGTGATGGCGGCTGAGCACTCATTGCAACACCTGCAACAAGGGGGCTGCTGGCACAACCTTGGCTGAAAAAGCATTGCTCCACAGGGCGTATGCAGCCAAAACCACACCCAGTGTAGAAACAAAGGGCCTGTTTTCCAAGTTCTGCTACACAATGAGCTCTACTTCATGCTGGTGCTTAAAAAAATTGTCTTCCCAAACAATGATGTCTGTTTATGGCGACTTTAGCCCCTCACCCCTGGAAATCCAGCTGGTATGCTTGCATCATGTTTTCATCATCTTTTGATGCGGGCTGACCCATGAAACTAAAATAATATTGCAAGCTTGCTGCTGTGCTGCCTCTGCTAGCGAGTTTATACCTTCACCCTGCACCAGCAAATCACCTGAGGCCAGACCAAGGCCTGATATAATTTTACTGTTGCCAGGACCATTCATTTTTAGCTCCTATAATCCTCCTGCAATAAGCTGTCCTGGTGATCTAGCACTTAAATCCTCTGCACAATAATATATCAAGTCCAGATCCATGCCTGGAGCAATGAAGGGGTAAAAAGCCCATAATCCCCACCCCCGACCAAAATATATATTTTTAGTTCCTGAGCATCAGTTGCCTTACAGCGCTTAAGAGAGATTTGCAGACCAGACCAAACCAAACAAAAAGGCTATTAAAAAGGGTTATTTTTCCTATGCCTTATTGTGAGTGCAATCCTGCTTGCTCTGGAATAAACGCCACTTCACTGAGTTGGACTTACTTATGAGGAAATGTGCACAGACTCAGGCTGCTGGGAAGCAAAGGATGACAGGACAAAAGGAAACTCCATGTTTATCACAGAATCATAGAAGAGTTGAGTTGGAAGGGCCAGAGGGCCATCAGGTCCAACCCCTGCTCAGGGCACGAGTCCCAGTCAGACCATTCCTCGCAGATGGCTGTCCAGTGGCATCTTGAATGCCTCTAGCGTGGGAGAGCCCACAACCTCTCTAGGTCATTGGTCCCATGGTTGTACTGCTCTAACAGTCAGAAAATTGTTCCTGATATTTAACCAGCATCGGCTTCCTGTAACTTGAGCCTGTTATTCCATGTCCTGCTCTCTGGGATGCCTGAGAAGCGATCCTGTCCTTCCTCTTTGTGACAGCCTTTCGTACTTCTAGAGTGCTATCCTATCTCCCCTCAATCTTCTCCTCTTGAGGCTGAACATTCCCAGTTCTTTTCATTTCTCCTCACAGGGTTTTGTTTCCAGTCCCTGGATCATCCTTTCCCCACTCCTCTGAACTCCCTCCAGTTTGTCTGCATCTTTTAAACTCAAAACTGGACACAGAACTCCAGATGAGGCAAAACCAGGGCTGAGTAAAGTGGAACTAGTACTTCATGTGATTTGGAAGTGAGACTTCTATTAATGTGGCCTAAAATAGCCTATGCCCTTTCTGCAGCTACATCACATCATTGGCTCATACTCAGCTTGTGATCTACAACAATTCCAAGCTCCTCCTTGCTTGCAGTATTGTTGAGCCAAGTATCCCTCATCTTCTAATGATGCCTTTGGTTTCTTTTTCCTGGGTGCAGAAATTGGCATTTGTCCCTATTTAATTTCATTCTGTTGCTTTCGGCCCAGCACTGCAACCTGTCAAGATCACTTTGACATGGTAGGCATGTCATGAGCGGAGACTAGATGGAAGGGAGGCCCCTTCTGATTCACGCTGTTTCTGTTTCTCTCTGTTTCTATGAATCATCTTTCTGTCCTCCAGGGTATTAACTATCCCACCCAGTTTTGTGCCATCTGCAAATCTGAGAATAGTTCCCTGCACTTCCTCATCTAAATCATGAATAGAAATTCTGAAGAGTGTTGGGCCCAGCACGGAAGCCTGTGGTGCTCCGCTTGTTACTTGTTTAACATGGGTCAGCATTTAACCTGACTGATTTTTAAAATGCATTTTATTTATTTTTAAACAGAATGGGGACAGGGAAAATTAGCTGCAGGACTACCTGCATTGAGGACAATAAGCTGCCCCCAGAATGTAAAAAGTGACAATGTTTGGAAATCATGCCCCAAATCTGAGTTACCTCCAGGGACCTCTTTAGTATTTGATAGTCAGAAGAAAGTTGCTTGATTTGATGCATCTGTGTCGGGTTAGGTTGCACCAGCTTCTCCAGTTCCTCCATTTGAACAGCACACTCTGCCATGTCTCCATGTATGAGCTACAGAAGATAACAATATGTCACTCCAAGTGGCATGCAAGACACCACCCTAGTGGTCTGAGGCCCGTTTGGGCAGAAAAAAGCCCTACACTCCTTGTGGCTGGGGCTCGCTGGGAGATGCCGGGCGACCCAACTGCTATTAGTGGATGAGATGCAGGCACCCCTCCCCTATTTTATTTATGTATTTAAAACATTTATACCCCGCCCTATATGCAAAAGTGTCTCATTCCCTATGCTGGTGCCCCAACCAAAACTAGAGTTTACCCTGACACTGGAGAAAGCCCCACTGAGATGATAAACATGCACTAACTTATTTTATTTTTGCTTCAGAACCCAAGGAGCCATCCCAAGCCATACTTCCAAGCAGCCAAACCCAACCTAGTTACCTTCAGATTGCAATTCCCATAACGCCCCCCCCCCCCAAGCTAGGGAGTTTTATTTTATTTTATTTTATTTTATTTTATTTTCGATTTATATCCTGCCTTTTTCCTACAAAGGGCTCAAGGCAGCTTACATCCTCCTCCTCCTCCATCTTATCACCACAACAACCCTGTGAGGTAGGTTGGGCTGAGAGTCTGTGACTGGCCCAAAGTCACCCAGTTGGCTCCATGGCTGAGCGGGGACTAGAACCCAGATCGTCTTGAGTCCCAGTCCCACGCTCTTAACCACTACACCACACTGGAGTTGCAGTTCTACACATTTAGAAGGGACCAGATTGGGGCAGGCAGCTTTAAACATGAGCATGTTTAGTGCTATTGGCAGGGATGGCTCTGGAAGATAGGAAGGAGCCTCTTCAGTCACACCAGATCTGCGCTATGTACACTCTTGTTGTACATTACTAAATATGGGGAGTATGTGCAGAGAGAGAGAAGGAAAACACTGAAAGTCATCAGAGTGTACATGGTTTTTCTGCTCCCTTTTCTGCATGCCAACCCTGTAGGAAGAAATATTTGCATGACCAGCCTGCCCACCTTGTGGGCATCCTGTAAGCTATGTAGCTCAGTGGGGATTTGAACCCAACTGCCAGGCCAACAGTTTGCCCATTACACCATGGCAGTCTTCTTGCTCAAAAACCTCCATAAAGGACCCCCAATGCTGATGATGTTACATTAATGGCAGGAGTGTGCCCAGTAATAACACACCAGGAATGGAATCTTCCTAAACTGGGAAGGCCATGGCTTACCTGCAGCCTCTGCAGCCGGGCCTCTTTATCTGCCAGACTGGGCAACGGTTTCCTCTCTGCGTCCAACTTTTCTCTGATAGCAAGCAATTTCTTCTGCAAAGGCCCGTAGACTGCATCAAAGTCTTTATGCTGTGATACCAAAGACTACCAGAAAGAGGAAGAGAATGGTTTTCATATCAGTGCCATCTGCACAATTATCTTTTCTTGTTCACTCTGCACAACCCCACAAAACAAACCTTGGCGTACAGCATGCGAATAGCAAAGAATGGAGTCTGAAAATTCAAAATCAAGGATTTTAATAGCTGGCTTCTTAGAGGTGACGCACCTGCAACTTGCTTTTCCTCTGAAGGAGAACTTTATGCAAGTGTTCTGTTTCCTTCGCAGCCTCAGATGCCTCGGCCATGAGCGACTTTGCTTTTTCTTCCTCAAAAATGCTGCTCAAGAAATCTTTTTTTATTTGCAGCATCAGGAGCTGTTCCTTAAACTGGGAACTTTCAGCCAAAAATGCCTGTGGGGAGAACACACAACCGTTGTATGCTTTTATTTCAAACACATATGCTTTATTTTCTGTAATTTTACTTATTTTCTGCTTTAATAGTCTTTCAATTATCCTAAGTGGCTAGCAAATCAAGAGTAAACACAGTAAAACAACTACTAAACACAATTCCATTTTGGAAAGACAGTAATACATATCAGCATCGAAACCCAAGAACCAATATCAGCATGGTGTAAGGGTAGCATCCTATGCATGTTTAATCAGAAAAAAAGTCCTATAGCTCTAAGTTTTCCCCAGTCAACAGGGAATTAATCCCGGGAGTTGTGGGAACCTTTTTTCTTTCTAAAAGTGCATTAGATTGCACTCCAAATGCTATAAAATTCCTTTAGGAAAATAAATATTTCCAAGGCCCTTCTAAAAATGGAGAAGCAAGGCAGCTTGGTAGATCACCTTCACAGAATGAATTCCCCAACTGTGGTGCCACCATCAAAAAGTCTCAGTCCTTGGTACCTGCCAATCAAACCCTTGCATATTATGGCTGCTTTGTCAGATTCATATGGGCAAGGGTGATCCTTCAGAGATCCTGGCCCTACTGCAAGTTGTAAGAAGAAGAGTGAACTGCTGATTTTGTGAATGGCTGTACCCAAGTCTTTCTGGATTGCTGGAAGTCTGCAAAAAATGCCCCCAAATACCATATCCCATTCCCCGAAACATAAAGTTTGACTGCTCCTTTTCACCTTAAAAAGAATTATGCCACAACGTGCAGGATTCTCTTAAACTTTTCTACCACAGTTTTTGGACATATAGTTCTCCAGACCCTGTTCATATCCTTCAGAACCAAATGTAATAGCTGTGACTGGAAAAAAAACGGTAACTGCTGGATTGCAGCTAAATGACAGAAACCGGCAATGTTTGCGAACGCCATGCTTTGGTTGCCCCCTTGTGGCCTTGTAAAGAACAGGCATTGTAGTAAATCTAGCGTCATGTATTGCTCTGTATATTCAGAGGGCAATCATGTGGGCTCAATTTCAAAATCAGTTTCCAGATCCAGTTTTGAGCAGCACATTCCAGGGGTGGGCAGGGGACGAGACAAAGATGGAGGAGACAAAGGCGAAAGAGGTGTGGCCAAGAACGCAGAAATGCCATCCTCTCACAGCTTAAGGCCTTGGGGGAAGGATTACACTCATTTAATTGGGGGGAGGGGTGCATAAAGTCCAGGTAACCACCACATGAACAGTGGTTGAGGGCAAGAGCCAGCTGGGGTGGGGCAAGAGTCAGTTGGGGATCCACAGGGAGCCAAATTTGCCCCCTCCACTTGAAGTTACCCAGTTCTTCACCCAAATAGTGCTCCTTCACATTGCTGTTACGTGTGTTCAAGTCATCTGCAACTTAAGTCTTAGAGGAGATCAACCCTGACTGCTCTTTAGAAGGCCAGACACTGAAGAGGCAACTCAAATACTTTGGCCACCTAATTTTATTTTTTATTTTTATTTAAAACATTTCTATGTCGCCCCCATCGCAACAAAGCCTCGGGGCGGCTCACAAAGAATACATAAATACATACATAAATAATGATAATATAACAATTAATGAGAAGGAAGGACTCCCTGGAGAAGAGCCTAATGCTGGGAACAATAGATGGCAAAAGAAGAAGGGGACGGCAGAGAATGAGGTGGCTGGATGGAGTCACTGAAGCAGTTGGCGTGAGCTCAAGTGGACTGCGGGGGTTGGTGGAGGACAGGAAGGCCTGGAGGAGTGTTGTCCATGGGGTTGCGAAGGGTCGGACACGACTTCGCTAAACAACAACAACATGGATGAAAGCTCTCCAAAATGCCCTGTCCATGACAGCCCTGCTCAGGCCTGGCAAATTCAAGATGGTGGGTTCCTTATAGACTCAATCCATTTCGTGTTTGCTGTTCCTTTTCTTCCTCTGCCTTTGACTTTCCCCAGCATGCTTCTCCAGGGAGTTTGCCTTCTCATGATCAGCACATACGCCTTTACATTCCCCCATACATGGGAATGACTACTCTTCATCCTCCGCAGAACACCAAAGTGGCATTTTAATGGTATTTAATGGCATGATGAGGCATTAATGCCCATTGACTGATTGGTACTGAATCTGTTTTAGCTGTTGAATTGTTTTCAAATTTTGTATAATGAAAAAAGATGTAGTCTTTTTTTGTAGGTATAGCATCGTCTGTGTTTTTGTGCATCTTTGTGAGCCATCCAGACAGAACCACTCAACAAAATGAATTTAAATGAGACACACAAATAGGTGTTCCATTTGTGGCACATCACTGCAAAGAGACACGACCTGCCCTCCATCCTCAAATGGCCCCACCCTCACAGAAAAGGATTCTGTCAGCACAGGAGGTGGGACAGGAGGAGGTATGTTCGTATAACAGAACACAGACATACCCCAATTTACGAATATCTGAGTTATGATCAACCTGTACTTATGAATTGCCATAAAGCTGAAAAGGGGTGGGAGCCCCTCCTATATAGTGGGGGGGGGGGAGCGGGGACTCCCACCAAAAACAGTTGAGCTGAGAGAATCTTCCCAAACTTGGGCACTGTGCAGGCACAGTTCCCATATGAGTGATGCACAGAGACTGCGAAGAAGAACTGCAGATAATCAGCATCACCAGAGAGAGAGAGAAAGTGAAAAGCCCAGGCCTTCCTGCTTTGCCCATCTGGGAGGGAAATCTCTCTGGAATTTCCTTGCTGGAAAGAGGAGGTGCTGCTGAGCTTGTGTAGGGCAAAGCTCAAAGTATTTGCAGTTCTTCCACTTTCATGGGGCTTGTGCCTCCCAATCCCCACAAATGCAGAGGGCAAATGATACATGATCCAACTTACATACAAAATCGACTTAAAGATTAATTTTCTCAGGAATGGAACTCATTCATAACCCTGGAACACCCTGTACAAGGGAATTTGCAATATGCATATCCTCCTGCAAGGAAGATGACTGTTTGCCAGTTAAAAGCAAAATGTTATTTCCTATAGTAAAGGACCATATTTCTAAAGTGGACTGGCTGGACAGCTGCAGAAATACATATGTCAGCAAAGTTTGCCATCGTGTGTGTCTGTGAACAAACATTATAGAGAATCTCTTGTCACCTCAATCTGATGCAAGAAAGCATCTGTCAAGGCAGGGTCGGAAACATTTGCTGTCGTGTCCAGCAGCCGCTGAGCTGATGGTTTCCACAGCTGGAATTCCCTCAGGGGGTTCTGGAAGCGCTGCCTCAGTTCTGTTTCGGTCTCAGTGCTCATTTTAAACATCTTTCCCTTCAGGCTGTGAAAAGAAGCAGACACCCAGGAGAAATCTTAAACCCTAGCAGGATAGGAAAAAACTCTTTTCACAGAAGGCCTTATATTGCACTTTAAAAAAACACAACGGAGCCCACTCTTGTCCTCATGCATACGTCTGTCTCCTTCCTCCCAGGCAGCTGCCTCTACCCATCAAAGGATCAACACAACCCCTTTTTTTGAGATCCAAAGACACACATTCCTTGCTGGTGCACCTGCTGTGGAGAATGACCAAATGCTGGCCCTGTAGCAGAAAATTCCCAACCAACCCCTTGAGTTCTCCCACGAATGCTGCACCCATCAGCTACAACAGGAGAGAGTAATTTCCACCAGCCAGGGGTTTGCATTGATCCTCATCCCGGGACCCTCCAGTTGCAAACTGGCTGCCAGTGTCTCGCACACTTGCAAGATTGCCACTTCTCACCTGCCACAACTGCACATTCAGCAGCAGAGGCAGGTTCTTCACAACATTGCCATACCACTGAGCTATAAAGGGTGGCATGTTTGTTAAGGGAAGCCTAGGGGCATACACGTTGGTGTTATTTTAATTTTTAAAATATATTAACTGATTTTAATTAATTAGATTGTGCCCATGCAGACACATCTTACATTGCTTTACCATCTGTACTGTTTGAAGCCATGGGAGATGGGCAGGTTATATGGCCGCTCCTCCCTTGTGCTGTGGGTCAGCCCCCCCCCCTCCGGCCAGGGAAATGGAGTGGGAAAACCCCTCCCTCCAGGGACTACAGGAGCATACCAAGGCAGGGGCCATGCCTGGGGGAGCCCATGGACAAAGCTGGACTCAGACAGATGTGCTGAACAGCTGGTTTAGTTTGCTTACAGGCTTCTGTGTATCTATCTAAGGACTGCACTCCAAATACATATCTGGATCTTGAGAGGACTCCTGGCACTTTTTGTAATACCTTTTTATGTACAAATATACACACTGAATAGAGAAAGCTGCCAGAGACATACTCAGACAAGACACCACTTTCCTGAAAAGAGCACAAAATTCACTTGGAGTTTCTTCCTTCCCACCCTGCAGCTTTTCCAGCCAGCTGAAAAATCCCTGCATCTCCCTTTTATTTACCCCAACCATTCTCTCCCTCCCTCCCTCTCTACGAGTTCACACAACTGGTGGGCAGCAGCATGGCTTAAACGCTGGCTTCTGGAGCATGCCAGTTGCCACTGTAAATGTTCAAGCCATGGTGGGTGGGTGGGCAGCCTTCATGGCTCGCAGTGTCATGTGAACCCAGGCAGGGTGGCAGCTTTCTATGGTTTAACAAGCCACCACTGACAGCCCCTGGGTCCTTCCCCAGATAATAAGCTGCTCATCAGGGTCCGCATGAGGCAATAAGCCACAGAGTCCTCCTGCTGCAGCTTGAATATCCACAACTGCAGTGTGCAGTGCAAGCCACCTTTGCTCATTTAAGCCCCACAGAGCTGCTGCTCCTGCAAAGCTGGTCTCTGCTCTCATTCTCTCTTTCTCCTCCCAGCCACTTTACAAGCCTCACGATCATCAGCAAAACCATTTTCTCCCGCTAATTCTGCATCTAGACGAGATCTGGCTGGCTGCAGCTGGCGATTTCAATTCTCTTTTAGAGAAATCGCTTCCTAAACGACTAAACAAGTCGCTAGATGAACGATCATCTTACTCAACTCCATAAAGCCGGATTCTCATTCAAGAGCTCCAAGGTAAGGAAGGTTCGTTAAGCAATTTCAGAAGACTCAATCCGCTGCTATCCCTACCTTCGCTGTTCCTTCTTCTGTGCCTGCTATAAGGATTTGTGAGCTTAGATTACCATTTCTTACAAAGAAGCACAGCTCTCTTGCAACAGGGTGGCAACCAGCTGTCCCCTCTGCTGTGTGGCAAATGTTCAAACTCTCCATTTCTAGCTACTTTTCCTTGGAAAGGAGCCCAGACTAGCTTCCTCAAATCTGCACTACTGTAACAGCCATGGAATCAGCACAAACCTTTTGCAGCTTGCCAAAAACACACTCTGGACGTGACAAAGAAAAGCCAGCTTTTTGGATACAGTCAAAACTTTGGCCTTGCCTTTGTCTGGCTGAAGGCGATCCTTTTTCCAAGTCTGCAAAGGTGTGGGCTATTTGCACATCATCTCCTGTTTCCAGTGAGCCTGGGCGTGGAAGTATTTGGCCCAAGCCCCTTGGGGAGAGGAAGAGGGAGAGGAGAGAGACTGGTAGGCTGGATCTGCCATCTATCCTGGCCAAATGTATGCAGGAAACAGTGGTTAGTCATTAGGAGGAAGCATAGGCCTATGTAAAAAAAGGCTGAGGGGAAATGAAACCAGAAAAGCAAGCAAGAGAAGCAGACAGAGAAGCCCAACAGGCACAGAATGTAAGTGACATTAGCATTGCTGCTTCTTGCCTACATCATGTTCAGCCCCCAGCACAAAAAGTAAGTTTATTTATTTATTTATTTATTAAAACATTTTTATGCCGCCCCATTCGCCGAAGCCTCGGGGCGGCTTACAACAAAAAATAAAATAACATTTTAAAATACATACAATAAAATACAAATATATAATATAAAACATACACTATAAAACAAGCCGCCCTGGCCAAATAAAATTCAATAATATTAACATTTAAAATACTGCTTAAATAAAAAGGTCTTCGCCTGGCGCCGAAAAACAAATAACGACGGCGCCAGGCGGACCTCTCTGGGGAGCGCATTCCATAACTTAGGCGCCACCGCAGAGAAAGCCCTCCTCCGAGTAACCACCCTCCTAACTTCTTCCATGGAGGGCTCCCGGAGAAGGGCCTCTCCCACCGATCTCAGGGGGCGGCTGGGCATATAAGGATGTAAGCGCTCCTTCAGGTAACCAGGACCCAAGCCGTTTAGGGCTTTATAGGTCATAACCAACACCTTGAATTGGGCCCGGACTTCAATGGGAAGCCAGTGAAGCTGACGGAGAACTGGAGTCATGTGAACATAACGTCCAGTCCCCGTCAGCAGCCTGGCAGCTCTATTTTGGACCAATTGAAGTATCCGGACCGTCTTCAAGGGTAGCCCCACGTAGAGCGTGTTACAGAAGTCCAAACGGGAAGTCACCAACGCATGTGTCACTGTCGCAAGGCAGTCATTCTCCAGATAGGGGCGCAGCTGATGAATTAGCCGAAGCTGGAGGAAAGCGCTCCTCGCCACTGCTGTTACCTGAGCTTCCAGTGAAAGCTCTGGGTCGAGGAGCACTCCCAAGCTGCGGACCTTGTCCCTAAGAGGGAGTGCAACCCCATTCAGGACAAGGTTCAATTCACCCTCTCCGAAGCCCGATCCGCCAACCAACAGGACCTCCGTCTTGTCTGGATTGAGCTTCAGTTTATTGGCCCTCATCCAGCCCATTACCTCGGCCAGGCACCGGTTCAGCACAGCCACTGCCTCACCTGGATTGGTGGAAAATGAGAGGTAGAGCTGGGTATCATCAGCGTACTGATGGTTCCGCAGCCCACACCTCCTGATGACCTCTCCCAGCGGTTTCATGTATATGTTGAACAGCAAAGGGGACAAAATGGACCCCTGCGGTACTCCATGGCATAGCTGCCATGGCGCAGAGCCATAGTCCCCCAGCACCACCTTCTGGAACCGGCCATTGAGATAGGAGCGGAACCACTGCAAAGGTGTCTCCTTTGAAACCTCTGAATCAAGTTAACCAGGAGCAGAAGACATCAGTGTAAATAGGCACCTCCAGTTCCAGTGAGTAGCTTTAGGAGCAGCAGCACAAACAGTGACCTACAGAGTGATCTGGACTAATAGCAGATGCCAAACAGCCAGTGGTTAGAGTGCTGGACTGGATTTCACTTTACATGGCTCCGGATGGAGGTTGTCACCAGTCATCTGCATAATGGACTGGGAGTTAGCTACAATGCAAACTACTTCTTCTTTTTCCATAGTGTGGAGAAGATAACCCAATCTGCATGGCAGCCAAGTGCACTGAGCCAGTATGAGGTAGACTCTCAGACTGGACACTCAGACTAAGACTAGCAAGATCTGGGTTCAAAGCGCTGCCCAACCATGAAGCTAACTGGATGAGCTTCAGTCAGTACTATCTCTAACTAACCTTTCCCACAAGGTTGTTGTGAGGTTAACTTGGGACAGGGAAAGGTGTGAACCATCCACTCCTTTCAGGAAAGGAAACAATTTAAATGTAATGAATGAATACAGAGACAGCCACCAAATTTTCTCCTGCAGTATCACTGAAGCAATCTTTGAAAAGCAGATAGGTGAGAACTTTCGAGCTTGTCCTTTTCAAGGCTCCACACACAAGCACGTGCCTGCCAAGACTAGTCCAATTCATGCTCAAGTCTGTCTTGCTCCTGATTCCCAGTTTGATTTGTGCAAACATTTGAATTTGCATGAATTTCCTCCACAGACAGATTGCCTTGTTTCACCTACAGAGGAAAGATGCATGAATCTCCCCTTTGATCACTGTTCAACTTGTGAAAGTTACCCATCCAAGCTAAGTGAACAACAATTGCGAAAGGGAATCAGGTAGGAGAGGAATAGGAAGGTCATGTTCAAAGAATCCTGGTGTTCTCAAACGTCACTCATTCACCAGTCCCTAACAATGGCCGTAAGATGCTGGGAGCCAGCAGACTGAACATCTGTAACCTTCATTTACTTGTTATCGTTAGCAGGAAGATCAGGACAAACCGGCCTGGGTTTATTTGCACTGTTTCCACATCACTGGAGCAGCCTTTACCAACCAGGCCCTCTCCAGGTGCCCGGGACTTCAACTCACATCATCTCCCAGGAGGTGGGTGCCAGCTGTAGGGGTGATGGGAGTTGCAGTCTACAACATCTGGTAGATGTCAGATTGGGAAATCCACTGGTGTAGTTTATTTAAAATGACTGCCCTTCTCTACCAGAAATTAAAATACCTTTGATATTCTCGTAGTGCACATATCACACTCTCAGAAAGGGGCTGCACATCTTGTGAAAACCTGAACAACTCCTTAAGTTGAGTCTTCAGTCTCTCAATCTTTGATTCCTCTTTTGAAAGAGCTGCCCTTGTTGCCTTTAACACAAAAATATTATCATTAAATAGATGTAGTAAATCAGTTTTCTTGGAGGGTGTATTTATACAACTATTTTGGAGGGGTTCATATTGTAATTAGGAAGAGTCATTTACTTGTTGCAAACTATTTCACCATTAGACCTCTTTAACTCACATGAGCAAAACAGATTGTGAATTTTAATCTAATATACTTGTATTGGTATGGTATTGTCACGAGCAATGAGCTGCTCTGGGTTAAGGCTACCGTGTTTAATTTTCTCCCTCCCTTTATTTCTTTGGGCACTTATAGCCCACCTTTCTGTGATAAAATTGAACTCAAGGCAGCTGATGAATAAACACATGAACCATAACATAAATGTAAAAACATACTTAACAATGAAATACAAGCAACAGTGAAAACAGAGTAATTGAAAATCATATCAACAGCAGTGGACTAAATATATAGAAACAGAAAGAGAGCAAATCAGAAGGGACCTCCCGGGCCATCTAGTCTGACCCCCGGCTCCAGCCAGCTCTACTCATGACATACCTACTAATGCATTAAACAAAAAACAAAACAAAAAAAAGGTGATTGGGATACATTTTAAGAGCTGGTACAACTGAACCTCTTGTGGGAGGCTATTCCATATTGTGGGCATCACAACTGAAAAGGTCCCTCTCTCTTGCCTCCGCCAGGGCACCCATCCACATACACTGTTATGCAAAAGGTCGGGAGGGGAGGGGGCATAAGAAGGAGCCCAGTGAGAACTGAGCATGCCTGATGGCTGTAGAACAGTAAATGTCTGTGGAGGGGGAAAAATGGAAAACTAGGGGAGAAGGAATGGAATGGAGCAGTCTTGAAAAGAGTGTGACTGGCTGGTTAGGATCCCGGCCAGGAGCACGCCGTGTTTTGTTATGGGTTCCCGCCTGTGTACTTTAATATAATTCCATAGAAAAGGAAATATAGCTTCAATTTCCCTGGTAATTGGCTTTAGGTAAAGCACTACAGTAGTTGGCAGGGTGTGGCTAGCATGAAGAATTTGGTTATTTACAGAGGGTCAACAGTTCCCCAGCTTTCTTTTCTTCCTCATCTGTTATGAGCAAGTAGACACTTACCATGTATCTTCTCCACAGAGCAATTAAGTCCTCCTCGCTTCTCACTTTGTCACCCGGGTCCAAGCTGTTTCCTAGCCTTTGCAAGTTCTTCCGGAACTCCAGTATCTCAGCCTCGAGCAATCTAGCTTGAGAATGATAGGCGTTTTCTGACTTCAGGTTCCTCAGCAACCTCTCCTCTTCCTCGGCACTCACCAGCTTCAACTTCTCCAGGGCTTTTTTCAGTTCCTCCAACTCGCTAGTGATCTTTTCTGCTCCCAGAGGGGACGTGTTTTGCTTGACACCAACAGACTGTGCTTCCAGCAATCTCAGTTTCTTTTCCCCACCCTTGACATCTTTGGTGATATCCTGCAAAAGGGAAGAGTTTGGAGTGGGTGACCTCCCAGTCCTTAAGGCCGTTCGGAGCACTGGTGCCACTACATATGGCCAAATACTCTGATGCCAGCAGAAAGCCTGGAGAGCCCTGTGGTGGCCTGTCTCAAAATGTCCTACTTTGGAGATCCCTGCAGTGGCATCTTTGATTGTATTATCTGTGATAGTGATCCCTGACAATGATCATCAGGCCAGGGGTTGGATCCAGGCTGGTTCTGCTGTGCTTTTGATAGGACACAACCAGAAGCCATTTCACGTGAGCCAAGCAGCCAAAACAGAGGTAGTGACATGGGATCGGTGGATCACTGATGTTCACATGATCCTCCAAGTACCACTTTGCCACTCACCCCATTCTTGTTCTCTGCTCACCTTCATGAAAGAGAAACTTGTGTAAATTCAGCAAAATTCAGTGGGAGGTTTTTGCATAGACTAAAGTAGGGCTGATTTGGCCTACTGAGGAATTTGCGCAAACTGAGAGATTTGGGCAAGCTGATCTAGGAATCGGGAAGGAAATGAACATAAGCACATGCTCAAAATTTGTGAGCATTTTGTTCATTGCTGGAGCCCCCCTCCATGTTCCGTCCCCTAATGACGTGATGTGGGATATTGCAAGGAGGAGGGCCATTGCAAGTATGGCGTCCCAACTCTGGAATTCAATTCCACTGGAGGGCCACTTGGCACCTGCGCTTCTGGTTTTTAGACACCAACTTAAGACATTTTTGTTGCACTGCTATTTTAACAGGTGAATTGTTGATTTTTAATGGTTATAAATAAGTTAAACTATTAAGTGCTGCCATCATTCTGATTTTAAAATGCTAAATACATAAATTACATTTTAATTGATCTTATTTTTGGAGCCTTATATAACATCTATTTTATTTGTTTTATTATTTTTATCTTTTTAAATTTAATTTTGGTAGTTTACTTATGGATTTTTATTGTTATTGGCCTTTTTGCAATTGTGTGTTGTTGTATTGTTGATTGTACTGTTTATTATGCTGCAGATGGATTTTATCATCTGCAGAGAGCCTATGGCTAGTGGGGTGGCATATAAATTGAGTAAGTAAATATTTTCCACAGATGCCTGCTTCTAGTTTCAAATGAGATATGCTTGCATGTTTTGCAAGCAGGGAAGAAATCCTGATAATCTCTAGAGGTAATTTCTGCATGACCACCTCTTAAGCAAGCAGGGCTGAAGCATCCATTTGTGAGAAGGGAAGAAAAAGTGAGATGACCTTCTCCTATAGCCAAGCCACTGTTACAGTCCATACATTCAACCTGATGATCTGCAGCTACAGCCAGACATGGCATGTGCGGACTAGATTTTTACTTACATACATTTTGGTCCTACAAATCCTACCAGCAGATTCCAGATCAGTGCCTCTGACTACTGTGGCACTTTGACATGTCTATTCGTTTTCCCTCCCTCCTACCAAGGTGCAGGGGAGAATTTCAGTTTGGTTTGGTTTTCATAAGAAGAATGTGGACGAAGTAAGACTGACAAATTCATTCAGGCAGACCAGGCCTTCGTGTATTGGTCGTACAACCCTCTCTCCTGCGTCCCTATGCATTCAGCCACCATACTGCTCAATCAGAGTCACCACCTTTCCTCATTCCGGTAATTAAGACTTAGGGAAAGCATTTCAACATTTCAGAAAGGGGGAAAGCAGTGTGAAAGCTGGGAAAACAGGGTCAAGAGAAAGACTGTGTCCATGGGCAGAGGGTGGCAACAAGCAAATACCTGCAACGACTTGATTCTATTTTCTGCTGGCAGCTTTGCTTCCTGATCAAGGCAGCCGTTTAATCTTTCTGTCACCTGGGTCAGCCACTGCTGAAAGTGGTCAATGTTGCTCTTATATTGCTCGTGTTCTTTTGTTATCTTTCCAAGCAGCTCCACTCTTCTCTGGAAGAAAAGAAAAAGCAGAGAGTGAAAGTTATTTTTCTCTTCATACTTCACATTTTTTAACAACCCAGAATACAAAGGCCCTGTTCTCCTCCCCTGCCAAGTTACTTGGCTGTTTTCAAGAATCTGAAACAGTTTGTCTTCTGCACAAGGACAAAATGGGGTTCCCTGGGCCTCACTGTACTGTTATTATTCAGTGCCTAATTCAACATTGAATGCAAAGTTTCAAGGGGCCCTTAAGGTCACCAACTCCATTTTGTGATTGTCTTTGCTCAGAAAGAAAATCAATGTATCATGTCTAGGGGAAAGGATGCACTTAAAAATTCCACCCTTAAAGGCAGTCTATTTTATTATTTTAAATAAATAAATGCCCTGTAGCTTTGTACTACTGATTATGCTTCTGTGAGGTCTTGCTTATAGTGAGGGGATAGGCAGCATGGGTGGGTCTTCCAAGTTTGGAACCTGCTTGAAAATGCAAATACAAGGGAAATGTGCTGGCAGTTCTCTACACTATTGCCCTGGGGAACAGCTGCAAACAGGACTGGCAACTTCTGGAGTCACTTAACCCTATACCTCCCTGAGCCTGGAATCCTGCTCCCACGGATTTGTGAATGAGTCCCACTGAACCCAATGGGACTAACTTCTGAGTAGACCGGTGCAAGATTGTGCTGTGGGATGCTTTCTCATAAGACCTTCAGAAGAGACCTACAAGAGACCAAACGCCCATTTGGCCAGCAGTGTATTTCTCACAGTTGGCAAGCCAGAGGAACCTAGCAAGCTGCTTTATCCTGGCAGTGGCTCTCCAGATGACCGGCTTGTTTCCCCAGCCCTACCTGCAAGGCTATAGACTAGACCTGGACCTTTCTGCATGCTATGTGTGGACCCACCCACTTCATGACAGCTCTTCTGAACTAAGGCCACCCGTAGGACATGAAGGCAACTGCTTCCATGAACACATGACCTGGCTCATGCCCCATGACAACCCACCATGGCTAGTCACCTTTGATGGACTGCTGTGCTGTGTGACAACAGCACAGCTTTTGCAGTGTGGCTACATTTTCACCCTTAGAACCCATGGCTTGCTTTAGGGTGGCTGAGACCCAGTGTGGCTTACTTTGTTTTCACGGGCTGGCAGGGTGACTTGGTTGTGTGTTGTCAGAAATGGCTACAGAACTGGCTGGTCAGAACAACAGAAACTAAGGCAGGGGTTGAGGAAACCAGGAGTCCTGGCACAAAGGTGTTGGAATTGTTGGAACCAGCAGAAGATCTGGCAGGGAATGAGGGGGAAACAAGCCATGGAAAGCCTGGTTAGCCAGTGAACAGCCAACCCATGGTGGCTTAGTGTAATGAAAGAACCCTCCCATCACTAATTACTTTTACATAAACATACAATAAGACTGAACTGTCAAATCTCATTTAAATCTCTTTGATTTCAGTGGGAGAGTTTGTCCGTCCATCCATCCTTTTTCACCCTCACATTTCCTGATGCATTTCTATACCCTAAGTGCTAGTTACTTACCTTTTAATTCCAAAATAAAGGTTAGTGTAAGGTGTTTGGCCAGACCCCACTTGCAGCCAGAAGGGCCTATTTTGCCTAGCTCTGCCATCTTTTATAACTACTGAAAAGATGCAAGACATCTGAAAAACTGTCTACTCATTCACATCAATCAGGGGAACATGGGCAATGCTATTTCTTGAAGGAAAAATACAAAATACAGGTGATCCACAATGGAAATCAAAAAATATTATATGCCACAAAAATCAACATTAATTTTCTAGTCTCAAGAGATTCTAGAAAACCAGAATAAATGATCCACTTAGATCAGGGGTCTCAAACTCGCAGCCCGTGGGTCAATTGCTGGGACGGGCGGGGCATGGAGGAGGGGCCCTGCGGCCTTCAAAGCGCCGGCGGCGCCTGAGCCGGTCGCGGGATGAGCGGCCCACCACCACCGCGGTGGTGGAATACTTGATGCGGCCCAGCCTCACCCAGACTCTACTTCCAGCACCCCCACGTAAGTTGAGTTTGAGACCCCTGACTTAGATGGACCAAAGGTGTGACACAGTATTAGGCAGGGTACAGAACCTCAGGCTTGGGGGAGGGACACATCTGGCTTGCCTGTGGTCCCAGTCCGACCTCCAGGGCTCTCCAGAAGTCCACAGTTTCTTCCCCGATCTCCTTCCCCATGACAATCCATTTATTTGGAGGTTTTCTGATTTGGTGCAGGTTTTTTTTTTACTTGCTCTAAAAGGCTGAAATGTATCTTCTAAGGCTTAGTTCTTGGTAATAAGAACTTTCAGCAAAACCATGTTATTCTTTTTTAGATCTGTGGCTTTTGCATTTAGTACTGTCAACCCTGGAGATGCCACTCCCAAGAGCTTCACCCAAGGCTAACAGAGGTTCACCGACCCCAAAATAAGGCAACTTCATATCATCAGAGATGACAGTGCATTTAGAAGTTCTTCAACTTTGATAAACTCTAGCTTAGACCCCCAGTTCCTCTGCACAGCATGGGCATAGGATGTGTACAACTAACTTTTCCCTGTTTGATCACTTACGATCACTTCCATCGCCTCACTCAAGGATGTACTTATCATTAGTTAGCTAGAAGACCACATTGAAGTTATGCAGAACCAACAAAAATAATGCTTTCAGCTGTGCAAAATAAACATGAAATGCTCCAGTTCTTCTTGCTAAGTCTGGAAAGACACGATGTCCCCACTGATTATTTATTTTATGCACTGATTGCCAATAAACCTTTTAGACCGTATCTGTGTCAATACACGGAATGAAAAAGAAATTGGCAGCAACACTGTAAAAAGGTGTCTGTGATTTATAGCTAAAACTCTGGGATCAGGCATGAAGCCAGGAGGCGTGAGAATGCTCTTTGATACCAACGGAGAGCAGGCATGCTAAGTTGCTCCCTGTGCATAAACCAATAAAAGTCAAATAAATAAATAAATAAATCTAAAGCAAAATGGTTCAGCCCGTGAGAGAGACTGACACCTGCCAGAGGCCTCGAAATGCTTCTTGAGCACTTCTGGAGGCCATAAAAAGGGAGCGACTATAGATCACTTGTCGTGGCAGAACACATGTTTTGCATGCAGAATGTCCCAGGAGGTTTAAAAAGGCAGGAGCACCTCATGGCTCCTGGAACACCAGTGCCAAGCGGAGCAAACATTCTGAGGCTTGCCAAACCAGCACTGTGACCCACAACAAGGCAGCTTCATATATTATTTTGACTCCCGTCCTTCTATTTAATGTTACTATATTATGATTATATTCTATTTTACACATTTTAAGGCTTTTATATTGTTATTTATTCTTCTTTTTTTACTTCTTTTATATTGTTATTTATTTTATATTGTTAATTTTATATTGTTATTTTTGTATTTTATTGTATTTTATTGTGCTGTAAGCCACCCCGAGGCTTCGGCAAGGGGCAGCATAGAAATGTTTTAATAATAAATAAATAAATAAATAAATAAATAAATTGTTTTATATTTTAAAATGTATTTTTGTGATTTTGTAAGCCACCCAGGGGCTTTTTAAGTAATTGGCGGCATAGAAAGGGAAATATGAATAAATAAATTTAACTTTGCCACTCACTGTCTACTTTTGCCTTGGCCAATGTGATGATTCAACCATTCCCATTGCAGTATACAATGAAATGTTCGATTGCCTCATGGAGAAGCCTATGTTTTCCTTCGTGGAAAGTACGGTACAAACGGTGATAGATTGATACATTATATAGATTGATAGATAGGAGTAAGAGAAAGGCACAACCTCCAGCCCCCTAACAGAGCCATGGTAGAGACAGCTCTCTAAGCTAGGCCTGGGGAACCTTTCACCCTCCAGATATTCTTGGACTTCAGCCCCCAGATTGCCATCCAGCACCGTCAAAGGTCAAGGATAATGGGAGTTGTAGTCCATCAACATCTGGGTGGCCACACATTCCCCACCCTCGCTCTAAGCCACAGCTCAGGAATTGTGATGCAGGGAGGCCAGGAGCTGTTCCTGACCTTCCCCATCCTGCTTTTTTGGTGTCTTGATTGGGTCTTAATGATAACTTACGTCTCATTCACTCCCCCATTCTCTGAGATGCTGTATAAGTTCCCTTTTTAGTTCCCACTGATCCTTGCCTCCCAAGACCTCTCCGTTTGATTTGTTCAAGAACCAAAGGCCCCACCTAAACTTTCTAGTCCAGAACCAAGGACTCTCATAAGCAGTAGGAACAAGCCACCTTTGTTGTAAAAATTATCCAAAGCTTTTTGAAGCTATTAAAACAGCTCCAGTTGAAACAAACAAACAAATACCTGCTCAGATACAGCAGCCACAAGCAAGTCAACATTAGACAGAAGCAGCTGACCCAGCTTGGAGAATAAATAGGCTTCAACCTGCCATTGAAAAGCTAGTCATGTTGGTGTGCTTTTAATCTGCCTGGGGCAAGAATTCCACAGATGGGGCACTGAAAAGGTCCTTTCCCTGTTATACATGTACTTGTTTTCAGCTGTGAAAAAGACCCAGTAGGAAGAATCGGGGTTGTATTAGTGATTCCTGGATGTAAGGATGCAGCAATTGGATCAGTGGAGCCCCTGATACAGAAGGTGGAAACCTCATGTAGAAAACTTCCACATGTATATTACAGTTGCTAGATGGAGATGCCTGGTTCCTTTTGTCTGAATTTGACCTAGGAAAGCCCCTGCTTCAAATAATGGCATCTTGTCCATGTAAGGCAGCCATCCGCTTAACTTGATGCCTTCTAGATGCTACGGACTACAACGCTCATCAGGATCAGCAAACACAGCCAATGGTCAGGGATGAGGGGGAAAGCTCAATTTACTGACAATACAAGCCAAACAAAGGCTATACATCCCTTTTGTTCATGCACATTCTATCTACAGCCAAGGTCCCAAAGTCCATTGCATCTAATGAGTAGAATCATACACATGACAGGCATGCCACAGATCATTTGAATTATTGCTCTCCGTGCCTATGCTCAAGATGTGGAAAAGCATCACCAACCCTGTACAAACAGTGCCAGGCGTCAGTTGAACATGCCCATGTGCTTAGCAGAAGCATGATGAAAAGAGGGCAGGGGATGTGGAGAGGGCCTCACATTCAGTGGGGTAGCAGAAGCGCCACTGCAGAGACAGTGGATCTGTGACCCCTTGGCTGTTATGCGCACCATATCAGACAGGGGTGTGTGAAAGAAACGAATGTGACTTGCATGCCAACATTTATCTGTCTTGGTTCTTATTTTCTTCAGGGGATAGGTGAGAATTTCAGTTCAATTTTCATAAGAATTCACCAAAATTTGCAAAGTTCTCTATAATTGGGACAAAAAGAACTTGAGATTACAAACAGGTGAATGTCAGAGAAAATGAAACCAAGAGAACTTTCTATCCGGGCCCAGGACTTGGATAGCTTCAGTCTTTAAAGTCTGAGTATATTGAGTCAAGTTAGTGTTACATTAGGGTCAATGCATCTTTTCCTCCCTGATAGATTCCTCATGCGTAATGGCTACATGGCAGGCAGATACATGTTTGAAATAGCTATACCATTTGAATGTAGCTGCTGCACACAGGTGGAAATTTTGTTTCAGTTTGGTTTTGATCAGAACGGATCAATAATCTTAAAATTCTTGAGATCGGGGAGTGAAAGAGCTTGAGATTTTAACAATTCAAATGGCAGAGAAAGCAAAACAGACCCATCCATCCCTGAATGGCCCTTACCTGTGCTTCTCCCTTAATATCTTCATACTCTTCCTTCATCTTTTTCTGGACATCCTCATCCACACTTGGGTCTCCAATCCTGTTATACAGAGAGGTGGCTTCCTCCAGTAGCCGTTCCAGGAGACCTGACTGGTTCAGAACATCATTGAGCAGGACTTGGGCATCGCTGAGCTGCCACTGCTTCTCTTTTAAGCCAAGCTGTAGCTCGATATCAGGCTCCAAGGTCACCTTCTTGTTGTGGATCCATGCATAAAAGTCGTCTTTGGCCTTCAGGTATTCACTCCAGTGCAGCCACACCCACTCAATACGGCTGTTGAGGGGAGGAAGGACAGCGAGATGCATCACGCACAGTGGCACTTGCCAAAGGAATCCTAATGCTGGGGAATGAGATTATGGAGGTCCAGCTGGGGCTCTTCCAACGCACACTGGAGGCTGTCCTCTCTGCTTCCATGGCAGCATTGCTGCTATTTGAGATTTGAAACATGAGCCTCACATTTAACTTTCCTATGACAAACTGGGAGGTTGAAGTCATGATAAAGTGACAGATCCTCAGATGACATATCTCATCCCTCCAGGGAGCAATGCTGGTGTCTAGAAGTTACATTCAGTTCTCATGGAACTCTTGTAGCCCCCACACAAGCCTTGTTTGATCTCCCCAACCATCTACCACTGCAAGAATGGCGAGACGGGTTCTATCATTCCTGTCATAGAAAACTCACCTATTACATAATCATCATCATCACCACCACCACATTTATGCCCCACTTTTCTTCCCTTTCTAAGGAACTCAAGGCAGCTAACAAGGTCCTCTTTCTCTCCATTTTAACCTTCTGTGAGATAAAAGGAGGTATGTGACTAGCCCAAAATGACCCAATGAGCTTCATGTCCGAGTGGAGACTTGAACCTGGATTTCCTGAGTCTTGGTTCAACATTTAAACCACTCTGCCACCATTGGCTCCCAAGTATCTGTGAAGTATCCTAGGAAGTAATGGCTGCAGCATCATGCCAAATTCCCTAGATACTCTAGGAGAGAGGCATCCCTTGACCTCAATGAAGAAAGAACCCATTCCTAGAATGTTCTCCCTGTCCCCGCCCTGGTCCCTGTCCTGGCCCCCATCCCTGTCCCCATGGGTCCTGGGTGGCCACCTCCACCCCAGCAGATCCTGATGTAGCCCTCAGGGCCAAAAAAGTTGTACAACCCTGTAACCCTGTTGGCCACCTGGAAAAGGACTGTGGGCCAGATCTGAAAGTCCTGTCAATCTTACCTGTGACAATGTGTGATGTAAATGGCTGTTTCTTCCCACTTGGCTTTAATATCCTTTAATCTGGATAAAACCTCATGCTTTTTTTCTTCGCTGATGCACTGAAGGAGAGCATCAGCCTTCATTAGAACCAAATCCACCTTCAATCGGCCTTCGGGTTCTAAGGCACAAATTTTCTGTCAGGAAGAAAATACACACCCAGATGAAACCATGAATTTTAAAAGATTAGATCTTATGCATGTCTGAATTTCTCATTTCTCATTTTTTTCATTTTCCACCTAGAGAAGGACATAAAATGTGGACATTTCAAAATTCAATTCTTCAATGATAAATTTTCTCAGTCCTTCTCTCATATAAAAGAACATAGCTCATTCTGAGCTAGGTTAGCTAACAAATTGACTGAATATAATTTAATACCATCTATTTTTTCCTTTAAAAGAATTTTGTTCATCCAGCTGCAATCCTAAAGCTAGTTTTGTTGAAGCAAGCCTCACTGAACACAGTGGAACTTTCATCAGAGTAAAAACGCATAGAAATACCCTGCCAAAACTCAATTTAACTGGAAATTAGAAGGACCGATTGGCTTGAAAACTAGCTAGTGAGCTGCAACTATTTTCGTCTGTGATCCAGCTGAACTCATACGTGTGTTACCAAGGATTTTCTTATATTTATATAAGCATGGCCAATGGTCAGGAATCCTGGGAATTGTAGTATAAAATATTTGGAGGATACTATGTTAGGTGAGTCTGCTTTAAAGAGAAATGCATTAGCTTTTTGCTCAAGTAGTGACCCTTGCTCCTCTTGGTTTTGCAATTTGCATCATGAACATGCATTTGAATGCCTGGTTTCCTGAACTTTCCTGAAGGTTCATGAAGGCATTTAGCATCTGTGCCTGTTCCCTCCTATCAGTCACTGGATCTCCTTCCTCCTTATTTAGTGGTCCCACCACTTGTCTCCCCTTCTTCTTCCTATTTACATGCTGAAAGAAGCCCTTTTTGTTGCTCTTGATATTCTTGGCAAGTCTCAGCTCATAATCAGCCTTAGCCTTGTGAAGAATCCTTCTGCAATGGGCCTCCTTCTCCCAGTATACACTTTTGTCTATTTCCCACAGTACCCATTTCCTACGGAGGTTCCTCTTTCGTCTAATCCCTCTAACCACCTCCTTTTGCATCCATGGCGGCAATCTCCTCCGACTCCCCACCTTACTGACTAGAGGTATTGTCAAAGCTTGTGCCTCCACAACCTCCCTTTTGAGTGCTATCCACCCCTCCTCAACTTGCTTACCTTCCAGTAACCTATCCCAGGAGATTTTCCCCAGTCTTGCCTTCAGTTGGCCAAAGTTGGCCCTCTTGAAGTCCCAGCTTCTAGTGCTCGACCTGCTGCATGTCCCCAGTCCCCTGATCTCAAAGCAAAGGATGGAGTGATCACTCGTATCCAGAGCTCCCTTAATCTGTACTTCATCTATCAGCTCCTCCCTATTGGTCAAGACCAAGTCAAGGATGTTTCCCCCCCTCGTCGCCTCTCGGACCCTCTGTGTGAAAAACCCTCCCTCTATAGCTTCTAGGAAGCGACGTGACCTGGCTGTCACTGCCGAGTGAGTCTCCCAAGTAATATCCGGGAGACTGAAATCTCCCACAATTACTGTGTCTCTCCCCCGAGATATCCTTAGAATCTGGCCTGTCAGGACATCATCCAGGGTCTCAAGTTGACCTGGAGGGCGATAACATACCCCCACTGTCAGGTCTCTTTCCCTGTCAAAACCCCTAAGTTTCACGCAGACTGCCTCTACCGAATCCCCATCTGTGCTGCATTCTATCTCACTGCATCCTATCCCTTCCCTGACGTATAAAGCCACGCCGCCACCCCCTTTCCCTTCCTGTCCTTTCTAAAAAGGTGATACCCTTCTATGTTCACATTCCAGACTTGCCTTTCATCCCACCAAGTTTCTGATTCCCACCAGCTCATACCCTCCTATTCCCAGGAGAGCTTCAAGCTCTTCCTGCTTATTACCCATGCTCCTAGCATTGGTTAACATGCACCTCAACTCCTTCCCACCGCTTCCTTTCCTTGGAGTTCCCAGACTCCTCCTTCCTCCCATCCTCCCTGATACCTGACCTATCTCTGTAGGAGTCCTGTCAGTCCCTGCAGTATCTCTAAAACCCTGCTCCCAGAGCCCTGATCCTCCCTGCACACTTGTCCAGTGCAGACATGTTACTGGGGGGCCCGAACCTCTCCCCCCGCCTCAGTTTACAGTCTTCCAGACGAAGCTCGCTAGAGCATCTCCAAAGGACCTTTTCCCCATCCTCGTGAAGTGTAACCCGTCCCTTGCCAGAAGACCATTGGCAAGAAACCGCATGCCGTGGTCAAGGAACCCGAAGCGTTCCTTCTGGCACCACACCCTAAGCCATTTGTTCAGCTTGGAGGCCCTCCTGTCCCTTCCTGGTCCAAATCCTCGGACAGGTAAGATTGACGAGAAGGCCACTAGGGCCTTCAGCTTCCTGAGTTTCTTCTCCAAGGCCTCAAAGTCCCCGGTGGTCCCAACCGCACCCTGCCTGGCCACATTGTTTGTGCCCACATGGATCACCAGGAGCGGCTGGTGACCCCAGAAACGAACAAGACGCTCCACTCTGTTCTTCACATGCCAGATGCATGCGCCCGGCAGGCAGCAAACCTCCCTTGTCTCCAGGTTGGGGCGGCCCACCACCGCCTCAATGCCCCTCAGCAGGGAATCCCCAACAACAGTCACCCGCCGCCGTACCTTCCTGGTGCTGGTGGGCAGCCGTGCCCTGGCCCTCGCCTCTCCTGCAGCGGCTCCCTTGCCACTTGTCGTCCCAGGCTGGGGGTCCTGCTGGTCCCCCGAGGTCTCATCAGCCCCAGCCTCCCCAAGTGGAGAGAACCTGTTTCCCAGCTCCAGATTGGTGCCAGGAGGAGGAGGAGGCCATGCTGGCCTCCTCCTCCTGTGGGTGACATACCTCCATGTCTCCACGACTGCTCCTCCCGTGGCCTCTCCCTCAACCCTCTGTCCAGAGGGGGGCTGCTCCTGGGCGGCCTGGAGAGCTCTCTCGGCCCTCAGGCACCTCACCTCCTCTTCTAACAGGGTCACCATCTTGCACCGAGGGCAAGTGCATCCCTGCCTCTCCTGGGGAAGAAGGGCGAACATGTCGCAGCTGCCACAGCGGACAGCAACACCCATGACTCCCGCCAAGGCTATCTCCTGGTCTGCCATCGGTATCCCTTCCGAGACCTTACCTTGGTCCCCTGCCTTGTTTGTCCTGCAGTTCCTCTCTCTCGCCCAGTTCTCCCAGACAAAAATCCACTTGCACACACACACAAGGATAAAATAAACTTAAATTGGAAGAAAAACAAAGCAAAGCACAGCACAAACAAAAACAAACAAACAAACCTCTGTGTCTCAGGGAAGGGAGTCTCCGGACAGCCCGGGCCGCAGCCAAAGGACGACACCTTATCAGTCCCTCAGGCCGGTGGCCCCGCCTGTCCGCTCCCTCCTGGCCCCTCTAGCCTCTCTGGCCCCGCCCCCTTCCTCTCCGCTGCTCCTGGCCCTCTGCTCCCCTGCCCAGCCCCTGCCTTGCCTTCGCCAGTGCCCTGGCCACTCAGCCCTCTCTCCCAGCCTGTGCCTCTGCTGCTCTGCTGCTCTGCCAAGAGGCCAGAGCCAAAAGCCCAAGAGGCCAGAGTCAAAAACAGACACATCCTTCAGAAAATCTGTTGCCATGAAGACACTTTGACTTTTCCTGCTATTTTGCTACTGCTACTTTCCTTGGCTGAGGCTTTCATTATTAGGTGAATGGAAAATAAATCACAGGAAGCTAGCACAAACTTGGAAAGAGCAAATCTGGAGCCAACTTGTTTAACGAGCCAATTGCCAAAAAAAGAGACATTAGCTTGACTAATTTCTGCATGTAATGACAACAGTGAGTGCAAATTAACATCAATGACTGAATAATTTAAGGTTTACAGGTGAAAAACACAGGGCAGGGAGGAATATGGCTGGACTAACAGAGGCTGATTGGGACAAAACATGCTTTTCCCTGCTACAGGGATAATGGCCACTGCTTTGAGCAATCCGAATTCAGCTAGACAGTCTCTACATGAGTACAGGGCATTTTGGATTCTCCTCTCTCCTTGTAGCCAGCATGGAAGGAACTCTGCTGACTCTTCTCCAAGGCTGTAGCAGTGACTTCAGAGACTGGGTTTCAGGGTCATTTTGGGACATGATGTATCCTGGTGGCGCTCCTTCCCTTGCAGTCTGAAGTGTCACCCTTTCAGGGCTGAAATCAGCTGCTTGAAATCTTTGCAAAATAAGAGGAGCGTGGGGGGGACATCTACCTCCATGCTGCTCCTGCCATGCATAGGGCACTCATATTCCTCTGACTTCAGGTGTTATGAGCATCCCCATAGGATTTTGAGGGCTACATCAAGCACTTGCCCTCCAAATTTGCAGCGTTCCCACTGGCCATGCTGCCTAAAGATGAAGGGAATGATAAAGCAACACATCTGGAGTGCATCAAATTGAGGGAAGATGGATTAGAAAAAGTCAAAGGGTTTTAGCTAACACACAACATACTTTTACAACAACTGAAGACCATAATAAAAGTATAAAGCAACATAGGTCATAATGCTGGACCAAGCTAAATGATACATCATTCATATAATTAGCAGATTATAATTAGTGGATTAATAGCTTTTTACATACACAGTGGGTGAGGCACCTAATCCTCATCGGGAACCTGATCTGGTGATGGGGATGTGTGGGTTTTAGTTCTTTGCCCACTCTTGCAGTGTTGATCCAGATTAAGGATCCATGAAGGTTCTTCTTGCATTGTCTGTTTGCAACAATAGCTTTGCTTCTGAAGAGAGGTCTGGGCTGAGCCTGAGGCAAGGCGCCCTCCTAACCCTGGACATCAAGAGTCCAAATCTCAAGCAAAACTCAGCCTCTCCATAGTCATTCCGACCCTTGCCAACTGCATGGATAACATTTTGTGTAGCTCAGCCCAAAATCAGAAGCAACAGTGCCTCTCCCACTGGGAGAGAGAACTTCCTTCAGAAGGAAGCTGCCAGATGCAGATACCATCTTGGTGAAGGCTGTGTCCCAAGCAGCCAGCCACCACACCTTTGACAGCAGGACCTCAGAGGATGATCATCATGCCTGGACATCGTCCTATCATAATCACAGCAATTACAACTGCTCTGGAGAATATGTTTGAAGCAGAGCATTCCTCTTTCTTTACCTCCGTGTCCCTCAGCCTGGCCTCCAGGGCAGCCCGAGGCCCCTTGGTGTTGTCATTGATCCGAAGCCTCTCCTCGATGGCCTTCATCCATTCTACTGCTTTCTCCACACTGCTGTCAAATTCATCCTGTGGCTGCTGGGTCATCGCATGAGAAGGACCTGAAGAGCATGGCAGGGAAGGGGAGGATGACATAAAAGAGTTTTAAGAAAGACATTCTCGAAGGCACCGCTCAAGCTCCTTTGGGCACTCCAGGATCGCACAAGAAGGACATGGTACTTCCCGCTCCTCGTCCTTCGGGGCCTCATCCAGCATAAACCTGGAGAGATGCACCAGCTCCCCTGCTTCAGGTGCTTCTCACACATCTCTGTGGAAGGGGAATTGTGAAAGTTCTGTTAGGGAGGAAATAGGGGAGACCAGTGTTTTTTGTAAAAAAAAAAAAAAAGTGCTGGCAGTAAGAGACCACACACACGAATCCGAAGCAGCGCCCTCACTATCTCACTATCAGATAGCAGACACAAAAGCAGCCTGCAGGCACTATGTTAATGATGTTTGCTGCTGATCTGCTACAAAATCTGATTCAAAATCACTTTGTAAAATCCATTGGAAAAAAAGGTGCCTTTCAAGTGCGTTCTATGACAAAAAAAAAGCCCTGGGGGAGGCAGTCCAGTCGCAAGACCAGCCTAGGAGGCCTGTGGAAGCAAGTAGGCCAGTGCTACTCAATTCAGACAAAGCATGAATGGTAAGCTCCGAGGAGAAGGTCTCTGTCCACCTTAGACATGGACAACAAGGCCAGGAGTGCTGCTGGTCACCCGCATGAGTCACAGTGTGAGGCTGTGAATCTCCTCAGAGGTCAGGCTGAGTTTTGGTGCACAGGTACAGGATGGTAGCCTTATACCTAGTTCTTCTAGGTATTTGCACAGCATCTGTTCGCATGGTATCCATAGGAACATGCTCTTATCTCTCTGTCTGAAATTAGAATAGCACTTCCTTCTTTCATTCTCTCTCAGTCAAACTTCTTCATTCATAGAGGAAGCATTTGTAAACCAGCCAAAGATCCTTCAGCTTATGGGGCAAAATAGAAATTGAATCAATCAATCAATCAATAGATCAGCTATAGTTTATTCATTAGCTGCGGCTGCACAATTGCATCATCCCATAAGAAGAACAGAGAGCAAGGTTTTAATTTCTCTTATACAAAATTTCCCGTGGTGTTGTGTTCTGCTGTGTTGTGTTCTGCTGACCCTTTTCAGATGATTTTACTGCTGCATGCCCAGAAAGAACAGAAGCCTGGAAAACAAAATCCTAGGATGATTGTTCATGATATATGTGCATGAGATGGTTCTCAGAAGTATCTATGATGACCTCCATATTGACAGCTTAGTGAATACCCTCCTTTAAAGTAGGGATGTATGAGAAAGTTGCATGGACACAAATATAACCTGTCATCCAAACCTGTATGTTTTCAAGCTTGCAATGCAATTTGCAGGAAAAAAAAGGTACACACTTCAAAGTATGTGTGAAAAATAGTTACTCTTGAAAAATGTGCATAAATAAGTTTTAATCAATGGGAGAAAATGCATGCTTTTCAACACTATGCACATGTTTGGAAAAATACACACAAAGATCCATGCTAAAAGAAAAAAAACCAAATATCAGTCTTCTAGCTGTCAGAAGGACAGGGAGAATCATACACATGGTTCATGAATGAACTTGCAGGATACAGGCAAATAAAATTAAAAATGTACATCAGCAAATATGAAGGAGTGTTCCAATGCAAACTATGCCTGTATAATGAACTCCTCCTCACAGGGGCAACTACTGGGCATTGCCAAAACCTATGTAAAAAGAAGCATTAACTGTATTTCACCTCCAACAATTAGCCAACTGAGAAATCCATTATTAAATAGATATTGTGGCATCCAGTACTCATGAAACAAAAGTTTTTGCTGAATAAGATGCAACCTGAGCTCCATTGCCTTATCAGATATAGACACCAAGCCAGAGATTCTGGCAGAAACCCAAGTATTAGTGCATCACATTTCTATAACATCTTTTTTATTCTTTTGTGGAACCGAAGGTGGTAAGAAACTAATACTGGTGTATTGTCCTGAGTGGGACATACAGAAGTTTAAAGGAATTATTTTTGCTTGTTTAATTTCCCAGTCCCTCAACATACAACATGTTCTTGATTAACTGGCGGTCTGCTTGGCCTTCTGTCCCACGGCCTTTTTTTTCTCCTGGCTGAGAGGAATCTATTTTTAGTTGTGCGGATATACTGTTTAGACAGACAGACAGACAGTTTTAGGCATGCACTACTTGTGGCTGGCTCTTCCTTTCTGATAAACTCAAAGCTGATATCCCAGCTGTTTCCTCTGCCCCATCCCAGAGTGACATGAACTGTCGACTGCAAGCTTGCCACCCTTCAACACAGTAATAATGACACCAACAACACTGGCACAGAGAAAAGAGTGGAGGAAATGTGGAGAAAGTGGAGGACATTTTCCTCCTCTTATAATACTAGAACCTGAGCTTAGCCCCTGAAGCTGCAGGACAGAGTAAAGGAAGTGCTCCTTGCACAATACACAGTTAAAGTGTGGAATTCACTTCTACAAGATGTAGTGATGGCCACCATATGGATGGCTTTAAAAGGGGAATGGAGAAATTCATGGAGGAAAAGGCTATCAATGGCTATGAGTCCTGATTGCCTATTTGCTACATCCAGCATCAGAGGCTATATTTTATTTTATTTTATTTATTTTTTGATTTATATCCTGCCTTTTTCCTGCAAAGGACTCAAGGCAGCTTACATCTCCTCCTCCATCTTATCCCCAGAACAACAACCCTGTGAGGTAGGTTGGGCTGAGAGTCTGTAACTGGCCCAAAGTCACCCAGTTGGTTCCATGGCTGAGTGGGGACTAGAACCCAGATCGCTTGAGTCCCAGTCCCATGCTCTTAACCACTGCACCACACTGGCCTGTACACATTAGTTATTGGGGAACATGGGCAGGGAGGTGTTGCTGCACTCATGTCCTGCTTCAGGGTTTTCTGCGGGCAGTCAGCTGGCCACAGTGTGAACAAAATGCTGGACTAGATGGACCCTCAAAGAGATCCATCTTCTTACATTCTCATGTCCTCACCATCTAAATGGAGTATAGTTCTCCTGTGGAATTTGCTGCAAGGTGAAGCGATAGCCACAAATCTGGATGGTTTAGACAGATTCATGGATGTCAAAGCTAACAGTGACGACCAACTATGAGAGCCACATGCTACCTCCAGGATCAAAGGCAATATGCCTTTGTATACCGTATCATGCCAACTCTTGGACTTGCTTGAGGGTTTCCTCTCAGCAGCTGGCTGGCCACTCTGCGAATGTGACCGGGTGGGCCATTGGTCTGATCTGGCATCAATCACCTGTTCTTGTGCTCCTCCCACTTCCACTGCCACCACCAACAATGGCACTAGTAGTAATAGGAAGGATAAGATACATCAAAGTTAGAGAAGTGACAGCCTAAAAGAAAAAACCCGGGAAACACTGGAAACATTCTGGAAAAAAAACATTTTAAAAAATCCTTATTTCTTTCTTTTCTGGACTTCACATCTCTAATAGAGGCTGACATTGCTTGTACTGCCCAGTAACATTACAACAGTATTTTGTGAAATCTTGGCTGTCTGGTAACCAACACTGGATATGCTCTGTATGTATGGAAGAGAAAAGGAAGTGCACAGTTAAGGGTGCCATTTACAAAACTGAGTGTGTAGAATGCAATTCCTTCTATACTGGTGAAACGGGGAGACTGTATCTCCTAAAAAGATATAAGGAATAGTTGGCTGATATTCAGCATAGTGAAACCTGTGCTGGACCTTGGACCCTTAATATGAGGGAGAAAACAGACAAAGCAATTTTAAGGACAATCTTTCCACTGATCCTGCAAAGGAAAAAGATTACGGAGGAACTGTTTATTGATCAGCTGAAACATAATCATAAAACAAGCCTTGATGTTTATTAATTTGGCTTGACTGACTCTTGAATGCAGGGACTGATCGTTAATGTTTGTTTCCAATTGGCCTTTCCCCAGTTGATTCTTACTCAGTTGGAAAGCACTATTGCAGTATAGTGTAATTTTTGACTGTGGTGTTTTATGATGATTTTAGTAACTTAAAAAGGGTTATTTCTACTTGCTAAGGTATTTACCTATCATTATCATTCCTTAAGTTTGTGGTTTCCTTTGTTACTTAACTGTTTGTTAATTTAACTTCCTAAGGCATTTCTGAAATATTTTGTAAGCGGTTTGCATGAAAACCCTGGTTAGACCCATACTACGGGTGTACTCAAATAAACCCTCATGTCCATCAGCAAATCAGGGAGGGGGTGTTGTTCACCTCTCCCCACTGCAGCTCAAATCTCCAAAGGATTTGCATACATTCTGGAGCAAATTTGGATGATGGGTGGTGTACAGGAAAGGCAAGTGACTTTCCACAAGCATTTCCCCTGATCCAGGGTTTGATTCCAAATGATCCAGGGCATGAAAACACTGCCCTGTGAGGGGAGACTGAGAGAACTGGGCATGTTCAGCCCTGAGAAGAGAAGACTGAGGGGGGACATGGTATCACTCTATAAATATCTCAGAGGCCATCACAAAGAGGAAGGGCAAGATCTCTTCTTGCTGATGCCAGAGCGTAGGACACGGAATAAGCAATTCAAGTTGCAACAACCCAGATTCAGGCTGGACTTCAGGAAAAGCTTCCTCACTGTCGGAGCAATATGGCAGTGGAACCAGCTGCCTAGAGAGGTGGTGAGCTCTCCCACACTACAGACATTCAGAAAGAAACTGGGCAGCCATCTTTGTGGGATACTGTAAATTAGTGTCCTGCAACAGCAGGGGGTTGGACCCAATGGCCTTCATGGGCCCCCTTCCAACTCTACTACTCTATGATTCCCTCTCACACAACAGTCAGTGGTTGCCCTACATTCATAGATATTGTTTATTATTCATCATGTTGCTAAATTCACAGAGAATGTTATCTTTGTTTCTGAAGTATCTCATTTAACTGGCCCTTGCCCAAGTATCCAAACATTTTCGCTGTCAATATTTGCAAAGTGATCTTGAGGACCTTGTGGAAGGTAATTATTTAGGTTCTGTGCATTTTGGGGGAAGGATTTCTACAGCTGTGTTGTCCTTTTCTGTAACTTTGGAATGGGAACTCACTCATTGGACAGAAATTGTTTAAGAACAGAGGGCAGCTAATTCTAAACTTCTCAAAGAGGACTCACACCCACTGTTAGTGGCCAAAACTACTTTATTCAATCTGAGAGCACATTTAGGAATTTCAGTGAGTTTGAAGCGATATGACAGAACATGTAATACAACATATAGTAAAGAAAGCCAAGGATAAGTGAGGGGTCTGATAAGAGGGTGAGAATCCAATGGACTTTTATGATTCAGTCATGTCAATTCTGGTTGACAGAATTGCTCTCAGATGACTCACTCTGGTATATGTTGAGCCACTCTGCAATTTCCCTCTCTAATACTGGCCTTGATTTGCAAGTCTAAATAAAAAACCCAGCCAAATTTGTGGAAAATCAGCTAATTTGGGCATATTGGACCCTGAAAAGCACGTGATCTTAGCACTATGTATGCAAAATTTGCACACATTTGTGAATTCCCAAAAGTACATGATCCAAGCATAAAATGGTGGAAAAGCACACAGCAGGGGTCCAATCTGTGCAAATTTCTTTATAGCTTTTTTTAGGCAAATGAGCAAATTGCAGCCCATCTTATGGAACACAAACACCCAACCTCGCCCATTTTCAATTTTTCGTTCCAAAGGGTTCAAGAAATCCACTAAACAGAAATGAGCCAAATTTCCCTATTTTGCCACATCCTTAAAGAAAGCATCACTGCAAATTCTCATCATGTCTGAATCAGACCAAAATGACTTTGGATTTCTATGAATTTGAGCCACATATTCTACAGTGGGCTCTGATCTTTCAACTTGGCCAGATTCTACAAACTTACACACTCTTCTTTTGTTTCCAGAATTGTACATGGTTTTAGTCATATGAAAGTATGATAGTGGAAAATACCCAATAAAAGATGTCTTAAAATAGATTTTATTCATTTACTATTACATCTGTATCCCTCCATTTAACTCTTTCAAAAAACTCACTGTGCCTCCTTGCTCTTTGCTATCCTCAAAGCAACCCTGTGAGGTAGGTTAGGCTGAGGGTCGGTCACTGGTCCAAAGTCACACAGTGGACTTCACAGCCAAGTGGGGACTAGATCTCCTGAGTCTCAGCATAATCCTCTAACCAGTACCTATTTGATCTTATTTGATCTCTCTTCAGCTCCCACTGTGCAGTTCCATGGAAAATGTGAAAAATACTGCATACCAGCCTAAGTTACAGACATCGTGATGGACTTTTTTGCATATTTTTCCAGACGGAGAAAATCCCATTTGGTCAATAAGTGAACAACGGAATGAAAAACACCTGTCAATCCATGAAATGCACGCACAATGGATTAAATGAAATCTATACATCCCTCGTCTGAACTGACAAAGTGTCACAGACAAGAAAACATCAACGCCAAATGGGAAGCAGAAGAGCAAACCATGGTTAGAGGTCATCATGATTCAATGTTACATATGAATTGATGAGCCATCATTACTGTTGAAGCTCCACCACTGCAGGCAGTTGGAACATAAAAATGGGAATACTTGAAATTCTTACAGTACTTAGGCTGCGATCTAGAGTTCCCATAAGTGAAAGTGCAGCCATGAGTTACAACTGCAGGGGGGGAGGGCTAATTCTGGCCAAAATCTCCTCTCCCTGCACCTGAAAAGCTGCTCTAGAGTGATTGGGAACAGCATGGGAAGAAGTGCAGAAGGTTCAGCTAAAAATGCTTCCCCTACAACAGATTCCTCCAGAGAGTCCCTCTGCTGGATACCTGCCTGTGCACGGATCCTTCTGATTCTGGAAAAGCAACTTCATTCAACTTGCCTTTCTGAAAACACAGTCCAACATGCTGGTTACTGGACAGAATTAAAATGAAAGCAGAGGTGCAGCTCTGAACATGGTTTGTGACATGGAAGATGAAAGCAAATAAACAGCTAGAACAGCTAACCAAACAGGGACTCTGTATTTGAAGCAGGGCGTAAGCCCTACACAAGCATTTGTGTACACACACAAATACACACAAGTGGGCTCAACTATGTCGGGGAAGGGGGCATGAACAGAAGTCCTTCCCAGCACACCCAGCTGCTATTAAATTACTGGGTATTCTGCTATGAGTAGCAGCTTTTGTTTATGAAATTGTATTCTATTTTCCTTTCACTATTTGAAAACAGTGCCTATATGGTGGCCTTTGTCATGAATGAATGAATTGGCCCTTAACAGTGGCGAGATCAGACCTGCTAACATGGCCTACGCATTGTAATTCTGCCATCAGGGCTTTATCAATCTTTTGATCCAGGTGCAGGAAATACAAGTTCAAATCCCCAACTGAGTACAGTTGATAACCCTTGGTTGCTTCTGACAGCCAAGCAAATTTTGCTAATGGTGTCTTGTGTTAGCCTTCTTTGGATCAGAACCACTGCACACCAGGAAGGACAGATCAAACGTCTCCCCATCACTGCCTTTTTCTCCCCAACCATGCTGCCACCCTTGGTATCAAGCCAGGATTTTTCTCCTTTATTTAACACTCCCTGGAGGAAGAATTGGCATCCCAGTGGACCAGGACTAAATCAAAGCTGAATATGCTTGCACAAACTTAAACAGAAAGATAATCTTGATATACAAGCTATATGAGCCAGGTCAGGACCTTTTTATTTAACCAATATTTTAATGTTAATTGATTTTAATTGTATATTTATTTAACTTATTTTAACTATTCTATGTATTCAGTTGTGGTATAGCTAATTTATTTTGTTTAGGATTTAGATTATATTGTAAGCCGTCCAGAAACGAGGGTGGCCTATAAATGTCCTAAATAAATAAAATAAAACAAAATAAAAAATATAAGAGCTAGTGTGGCATGAAGGTTACATTGCTGGAGTAGGGACCAGGGAGCTCCAGGTTTTAGTCCCCAGTTGGCCATGAAGCTCACTGGGTGCCTTTGGGCCAATCACCGACTCTCAGTCCAACCTACTTCATAGGGTCGGTGTTGTGAGGATAAAAATGGGGCACTGTAAGCCACCTTGGTCCTCACAAGAGGAAAAAGACAGCATATAAATGCAATGTGATGATAATTTATGTTTGTTTATTATTGTAGTTATAGCCCCCTTTTCTTCTTTTCAAGGAACTCAAGTGGCTTACATAATTCTCCTCATCTCACGTACCCTCACAACGACAGCCTTGTGAGGTAGGTTGGGCCGAAAGTCTGTAACAGGCCCAAAGTCAGCCAGTCGGCTCCGTGACTGAGTGGGGACTAGAACCCAGATGGCCTAGGCCAGTCCAGTCCTTTCAACCAATACACTGCCCTAGCTCTCTAATGCTACTTTGAGCTTCTTCAGTGAAAAGGGAAACACAACTGTAGCAAGTAAATTGGGCAGGATTTAGAGAATTCGTCCGTATCTTGGGAGTATAGCGAGAAGCTGCTGTATAAAGAAAACTTGACTTTTGTGTGTTTTTATAAGCCGTGCAGGGAAGGAGCGAAAAAAGAAAAAGCATTATGAGTAAGAAAAGGGAAAAAAACTAGCAAGATCAGTTTACAGAAGAAGGATTCAGCAAGCAGCAACTCCTATTCAGAGAAGCAGAGCTGCAAAAGATCCTTCACGGGACTTGGAGAAGTACTGCCATTTCTGCAGAAATAATACAGAACTAGATGGGCTAAAAGTATGACTCATATAATCAACTTCAAATTGATCCTAACATAACAGCCTAAGAACAGCTGTGCTTAATCAGGCCAAGCAAAGGTCTCTCTTGGTCCAGCATTTTGTTCTCGTGCGGCAACCAGATGCATATGCGATGCTTGTAAGTAGTACATGAATGCAGTGGCACCTCCATTCACATTCCACAGCCACTGGCATTCAGAGGTATATTGACTCTGTTACTGAAGGTAACATACAGCCATCCTGAGGACTAGTAGCCATGGATAGCTTGTTCTCCAAAATCTATCTAGCTCCCTTTTAAAGCAGTCCACATTTAGAGCCACCACTGCTTCCTGTTCAGCCATGACCATGGCACCAAAGGTTTCTTTCCCAGGGCAACCATCTCTTCACAGAGAAACACACTGAAACCTATTATTTTACTCACTCTTTTAATGCTGTCAACAACTTCCTCTTCAACAGGCACCTGTCAGATGTAATCATTCCATTCATTAATCGGCTACACAAGTCAACCCATTCCTTAGAGGGTGACCTGAGTGCCACGGAGTTGCTTGCGGATTAGCGGTATTTAAATCTCAGCCACCTTCACAACCCTGCTCCACTCTGGGCTTTTTCAGTGGACGATCGCCTTCGAGTCAGACAGCGGCTTGCTCCTTCCCATGTGTACTGTCAAACAGTGCAGTCTGTTTGGACCAAGAAAAGCAAACTTTGTTCTCTTCCTTGAATATACGAAACTGACTCCTCCTTGTTTCGTCCTGCTAATTCCAATACCGCAAGGGTGTATAGCTGGTTGGGATATGCTGAGAGTTGTAGGACTTTTTAATGTCCTGAAAAGCATAGGATTGCACCCTAAGGATCTGAAACACTTGTTACAGGTGGATTATGACACATTTTGTATGTGCCTTTCCACAAGAAACAAGCTTCACCAGGTCAAACAAAGAATGGTCAGAAGAAATTACAGTGGCTTAAAAATTGGGGTGGCTCTTGTAGTGCCTGAACCCAACACTGTGGTCTGCGAAACGAACCAGTCTGGCTGCATTCAGCCAACATGGCAAGCCAACCTTGGCTGCTAAACCACCATAGCTTCTTGTGTCGTGTGAACCCAGACAATGTGTCTACTGACCATCAGTTAACAGATCCAGCTGTCCACTCCTGTTCTCCCTCTGCCTTGTCTCCTTTTCCTCAGCCTCTTCCTCCCTGCCAACCGACTTCTGTGGAGGAACAGATCATTCTTGCTAGAGGTTGGAACCAGCTGCTGAGTTTGAAGTGAGGCAACTGCTCATATTTTAGGACAAAATAGCCCAGGGGGTTGAATATCCATGCCAAAATATGAAAACAAGGAACAGCATTTAAAACCATCTATCAGGTCTTATCCACACCCATTCACGAACAGCTGATTAGTGGCCATCTGGCTGCCAGTGCTGAGTGGCTCCTGTCCCGTCACAGTCCCAAAAATGGATTCCCCCAAGGACCGCAGCAGCTCCTCCAATGAAGAGAGACATGGACAAAGAACAAACCGTGCCACGCACTTTGGCTCCCAGGTCCAACAGAAGAGCCACAGAGAAGGAGCCACACAAGTCCAGCCCAGGCAGGAGAAAGACTCGTTCGGCATGCATTGGTGCATTTGGGATAGCTGGGCCTGGAGGCATCTGCTCTTGGATGCTGGATGTGCAAGCAGCTGTCCCGGAAAGAAAACCAGGGCCATTCAATACACTTAAAGTGGCGGGGCGTCTTAAAATATTATTCTGGCCCAGTAATTAATCTGTAACACTTGATGGATGCTGCTCATACCAGTCAAGTCTCTTTGTATGTGTGGTGGAAGGAGCCTGCAATTCCCTGTCCCCGTGCTAGCAATGAGTGACGTGTGGCATGCGATGAGTCAGGTGACAGGCAAGGAGGAGAGTTTCAAAAACAAGCTCCATTCTGTCCGGGAGTACAAAAAGCCATTCACTGGGAGGCTGCTGGGCAATACGTAAGAATAAAGCATCCTTTACATGACGCGCTATTTTGCTTGTGTAGCAGCCTCTTGGGCGAGTTATAAGGTTGGACCCAGGAGCTGCCTTCCATTCCTGAAGGTGCTTCTGCCAGAAACGCAGGTATCCCCTCTGCCCCCTGCCACATCACAGCACTCCACATTCAACAGGGTCCCCTGAGCCACTGTCTAGCATTCTGGGGGGACTCACGGGGAGAAGGGTGTGGGTACACTTGGTTCTGCCTGCCCAGCTGCAGGCACTTAGTGAATGCGATGCCAACCGAGGAGCAGGTGGTGGAGCACAGCCAGCCCCTGCACCGGTCTGTGACAAGTGGAATGCAGCCCCCTCACAGACCAGCAGGGGATCTTTTGTGGACCGGCGCCGGTCCACAGACTGGTGGTTGGAAAACACTGCCTTAAGCAGGCGTCTTCCTAAAACTCAGCTCTTTACGCAGGCCCTCCCTGAAGTGTGGCCCAATCAGCTACAGTTTGCAGCATGCAGTAAGCCGCACAACCTTCCTGCTGATTAAATTGTGTTATGCTATTTTTATTATTTTATTTACTAAAGTTTTTACGCCATTGCATTTCATGCCCACCACTTTGATACCTTTGCGGAAAGTGGTATATAAATTTGAATAATACAATCTGTTAATTAAAAGTGAAGCGCTGTCTCACAACATCAGTTTTATCTGGGCGGAAAAGCATGGTTTTGGAGTCCAGAGCCCACCTCTGCCTTGTACTTGGGTTCTTCAGTTACTTCTTTTTAATCTCAGCCATTTGGCTTCTAGGAAAATGAGTGGTTTGTAACCTGCTATGCCCACTTCCTAGCCATTTTATGATTAGGCAAGCCCCCTTCTGCTGCCCATGGCAACCTTTTTGTGAGAGGACCCTAAACTGCAAATGTGTCCACTGACCAAAAGGCTGGGGGCTCCATGTCTGTTCTGGTGGGCAGTGGAGAGGAAGTTTCCCAGCCCTGCTTGGCGGTCCAAAGAGAGAGCAGACAAACATGAGAAAACAGATCCTATCGGCAAATGCCCTTAACCACTGAGGGCTGATGCTGTGTAGTGGCTAAAGGCACAGGGCTGGGACTCGGGCGATCTGTCCCTGCTCAGCCATTGAGCTACCTGGGTGACTCTGAGCCACTCACAGACTCTCAGCTCAGCCTACCTCACAGAGTTGTTGTTTTAGGGATAAGACTGAGAGCAGCAGGAGGAGAATGCTGTAAGCCACTTTGCATTCTTTGTAAGAAAAAGGCAGGATACAAATCAAACAAACAACCAAACAATATTCCCCTGTTCATAGCCTAGGGCTGAGTACTTCTGGCATTAGAACCCCTTGTGAAGATCAGGACTGAGCCCTAGAACATGGGAAGTAGTGATGCAGAAGGGCTTCTGCGAATGCCCGGAGTGCCTTTCCTTTCTGCCATGAAGGTGGGCCCATGAGACAGCCAAGCAGCCTGCATTCTGGCACCTCCCAGGTCAGAAGCCAAATCCTATCCAGATTAAGGAAGCAATCTAGGAACACTGCTGGTGCTGAACAATTTTGGGGTGGCAATAAACTGGTAGCTGTCCAACCACAAGAATTTCCTTTAGCAGCCTCTCTGAATCATGCGTTGATCCCTGCTCATCTCCCTGATTAAACAGGGATTTAGCCCTTGATGAGAAACAAGCTTCCCTGGAAGTGCTCTGGTACCAGTCACAGGATGTTGCCTGAGAATCAGGAACATTTACAATTGAGGCAGCCTTTGTATTGATTTTCTTAGCTCCAGGTGGCTGTCAGCCTCTCCAGTGGGGATGGGAGTGATTGATAAGTGCTGTAACAAAGGCAGGTTTAAAGGGGGATTTACTTAAAAGAGGATCCGGGGGCCTTTGAAGAATGTAATGAAGAGATTTATCCTTCCAAATGTACAGTGGAAGACATCACAGTGACTGCAGACCATCAAGGATTTTGGAGAATTAGCAGCTCTCATTATTTTAAGTGACACTTCATCCCCTTTGTAATGGCCACCTTTTCCCTCCTGGCACTAGAGGCAGCCAGAGCTGCTCCATATGCAACTCCAGATTGCACAAATATGCCTGGTAAGTTTCTTTCTAAAGCTGCACAATTTGTACGTAATATTCCCTATTTCAGAAACCATGGTTAAAGTAAACCCAAGTTTATTGTTATGTCTGAAGTAGAAAACTGTGACAGCATGGACAGGTTTCTATATAATGCTTCAGTGAAGGTGGGAGCCTCTTTCAGTCCAGGGACCAAGTTCTGGTTCAGAGAAGTGGTGAGAGGGGCTGGAGACAGAGGAGACAAAGTCAAAACCAAGTGTGATTCTGTGTGTGCATGCAGGGCGAGGACAGAGAATCACCCTGCATGGCAATTAAACTTGCAGAAACATTGTCACTCGGGTTCTGTGTGACAAAGGCTAGGATGCAAATTCACTGAAGAATGCATTTTATTTGCTACGATTTGGATGATACATTAATTAGCTGACTTTGCCTCCTAAGAAGAGCTGAAACCTAATCTGCACCAACTCCCATGCCAATCCTTTTGCGCTGAATACCACAGCATGGGTTGTTGTCATTTCCCAAGTTTGACAGCATTTTTTGCCAGCTTGTATAACAAAGAACATGAGACAGACTGTCACCTGCAACATTCCTCCTGGGACATGAAGGAAACCATGCTGAGAAACACACGCGACGAGTCTTTCAAAGGCCCAAGGGAGGCCCGCCGTGGCAACGCATGCATTCCGTGTAAGCCGCTCGGCTCACATTAATCTGCTGCTAATTTGACCCAGGGAATGGTGTGGTATGTTTTTTCTCCTAAGCGATGTTCTTATGGCTCTACAAGGAAGTTGTCAGAAGGACACTGAAGCTGCATGTCAAGAACTGGGAAAAGGCCAGCACATCTTCACTGAAATTGCCAGATACAGATCAGATAAAAATGATTTTCAGGCCGCACTGTCTTGATCTGGAATGATGCTCACCATCTGGAGGTCCCAAATCTGTTTATAAAGTCCTCTGGATGGGCTAATAGTGAAGTCATCTTTGTTCAGTATATAGACACATCTTTGCTGTGCATGGAAACTGCCTCTGTGAAGCACTGCCTAGTTCACTAAAAATGGGTTTAGAGGAATTGCCTCTTTGCCCTTCGTTCTTGCTGCCAGTCATTGGTGCTGCAAATTTTACGTGATTTAGGATGTGAGCCTATACATGCTGAGAAAGCAAAAAAGGCCTACAATCCAGTTGCAGAGCCTTTTCTGTCTAAACAAACTCAAGATTGCACTTTGGGGCAATAGATTAATCCAGTTAAAGCATTAGTAGTTTAATTGGTGGGGATAGGATTGATTGATGAGGTCAAATATAATTGCTAGGTTTGTTACAGATTCAGTTTGTTCCTTGTAAATTTGTGTTGTTAGTTACATTTGATTATTTTAAATGAAAGGTTTAAAATGTTTTGAAATAAATACATAATATTTATTTATCCTCACTTTATAAAGGTGCAGGGGAAGGCATCAGGGGAAAACACACACACACACACACACACACACACACACAGACTAAACAATTGGGATACTGTGTTTTATTTTATTCTTTGTCTTATTGCTAAACCATCCCGAGACTTCAGTAAGGGACAGTCTAAAAGAGTATTAAAAAAACAAACAAAATTAGTTGGGAACAAATACTATTGACCTCAAATCCCACTAAACTCAAAGGAACTTAC